TCGCAGCAGCTGCAGCAGCCGTTGCAGACGCGGCAGACGAGTGTCCTCCCGCCCGGGTGGCCCGGCGCTGGCGGTGGACGGGCGCGTGGTGGTGTGCCGCGTGGTGGCTCTACCGGCGGGCGTTGTCAGTACCAGATCCAGACCGGTCCTCGCCGCGGCTTCGTTTGCGGTAAGCTCAGTCACTCCACTCCCCGCTGTTTTCGTCGCCTGGACAACCTCTTTCGTCAGCGCTTCGGCCCGTCGCCAGACCTCCCGGACTGGCACAGTTTGCTTAGTCGACAGATTCAGACCTTTGATATGGACATGGATGCCATTGTTTCTGCTCTGCATGTGATGTATGCTGATGACTCTAGTGTGCTTCCGGCTTATTACTCACTGTTGCCTAGTGTAGGTGTGCCTAGCTTAGCCTCCCCTGCTGCGTCAGGCGTAGGATCCCCTGCTTTGTGTAGTCTTGGTGCTTCTGCCGTCGTTCCGTCGCCAGACCCCCCGGCTTCGCTTTCCTTCACCTTGGACTCTGGCGCCTCTCGGTGTTTCTTCCGCGACTCCACCACCCTGACGCCGCTTCCTGTTCCTGCTGCCGTTTCTCTTGCTGACCCCTCCGGCGGTCCGGTAGTCCCCCGCAGTTCCACCACCCTTCCCTGTCCGGCGGTTCCTTCGGGCTCTCTTACAGGTCTGCATATCCCCTCGTTCTCCAGGAACCTAGTTGGTGTCGGCTGCCTCCAGGACCTTGGCGTCACCACTACGTTCCCTGGTCACGAGCGGTATGCTGTCTGTACCGAGGCCGCCACAGGTGCCCCCCTGTCCACGTTCCCCCGGGACCCGGTGTCCGGCCTGTTCACTCTGGACACCGTGCCCCCCCCGGCTGGAGCGCCCCCTCAGGTGGCTGTGTCTACCCAGGTTGCTGCTGCCTGCTCCTGTCGCTCCCTCACTCACCCAACCCTCCTGTGGCACCACCGCCTAGGTCACTCTGCGCTCCCGCGTCTGCGTCACATGTCCCAGCACGGTCTTGTCCTTGGTCTCCCAGGTTCACTCCCCGCGTTTCCCTCCTCCCCAGCTCCACCTTGCACGCCTTGTGTCGAGGGTCGGCTTCGCCGTGCCCCTCACTCCTCCTCGTTCCCCCCTACCGCCGCGCCGCTGCAGACCCTGCACCTGGACGTCTGGGGCCCCGCCCCCGTCCCTGGGCCGCGTCGCGAGCGCTACTTCCTTGTGCTTGTCGACGACTTCACTCGTTACACCACAATCTTTCCCCTGGAGCGCAAGGCCGACGTGCCTGGCGCCCTCATCCCCTGGCTTGTCTCTGCGCGTGTCCACCGCGGTCTCCCTGTCTTGCGTCTTCACTCAGACCGTGGTGGCGAGTTTGCCTCCGGTGTCCTTGGTCGCTTTTGTCGTGCGGAGGGCATCACCCAGACGTTCACCCTACCGGACTCCCCACAACAGAATGGGGTCGCTGAGCGACGCATCGGTCTGGTCATGGAGGTCGCTCGCACCTCCATGGTCCATGCCGGTGCACCCCATTTTCTATGGCCGTTCGCTGTGCGCTACGCTTCTCACCAGCTTAACTTGTGGCCGCACCCTCAGCAGCCGCAGGTTTCGCCGACCCGTCTTTGGACTGGGTCTCCTGGTGACGCGTCTGCGTTCCACGTCTGGGGCTGCCTTGCTCACGTTCGTGCCTCCGGCACGGACAAGCTCACTGCCCGCACCCTTCCCTGCGTCTTCCTCGGTTTTCCCCTTGACGCGTCCGACTGGCACTTTTACCACCCGCCGTCTCACCGCTTCTTTCACTCTCGTGACGTCACCTTTGACGAGTCCGTCTCCTACTACCGTCGCTTCTCCCACCGTGGTCCCGCGGTTACCCCCCCCCTGTTCCTGGTCACTCCTTCCCCGGTAGTCCCTGCCCCTCCTCCTCCTCCTCCCCGTCCCGCCCCCTCTGGTGTCTCCCACGTCACCCCCCTTCCGTCCGTGGACCCGGTTGAGGAGTCTTCTGACTCTGGTGGCCCTCCGGTGTAGTCCTCGCCGGCCGCCCCTCCCCAGGTGTCCCCTCCCCAGTCCCCTCCTCCGCCGCCCCTGACGCCGCTGCAGCCGTCGCCGTCGCCGCTGCCGCCGCCGCCGCCGCCGTCGCAGCCCCCGTTCGCTGACTCTGGGGGTGCTCGTCCCGGTCGCCCTGAGGGTGGTCCCTCTGGGGGTGCGGGTGTGGAGAGTGCCGGTGGTAGCCGAGGAGCCGCGTGCGGTCCAGGTGTCGCCGTTGTGCGGCCGCAGCAGCAGTTCCCACCGGTGTCCGCCCTTCGCCTGCTCGGCCTTCCGTCCCCCGACCCTGCGTCGGTTCCTCCCCGCCCGTCTCCTCCTCTTCCTGTCTACGGCCCTGTTTTCCCTCCGCCGGACTCGTCCCCGGCCCGTCTCCCCCCTCGTTCCCCTCCTGTGTCCCCTCCCCTGTCTCCTGACCCGACTCCTCCGTCCCACGTCTGGTCTCACCGTCCCTCCCGTGCTCGTCCTGCCTCACCTGTCTTGCGCTCCCACCCTATGTTGCTTCGTTCCCACGCGTCTCGTCCTCCCCTTCTGCCGTCGCCTCCTCCGTCCTCCCTTGTTGTTGCGCCCCCCCCGCTGTCCGACTACCTTCGTGCCGCTCGTCCTCTCGTTCCTCGGGTCCTTGCCTCCCTCGTTACCGACCCGTCTGTTCCGGTCTCGTGCCTTGACGCTCTTGTCGCTGCTGTCGCTGACTTCGCCTCTACCCGCCGCCTTGACTACGCCACCGCTCTGGTCTCTGACCCTGCCTGTCCTCCGTCTGTCGGGGGTGCTCCTGCCCTTGGCAGTGACGTCCTGGAGGACCGCCAGTTCGAGCTTGCTTTCCTCTCCGAGGCTGCTCCCCATCTCTGTTCCATGCTACTAGTCCCTGAGGGTGACCCAGACGCTTTCGACATCCCGACCCCTCGCACTTACGCTGAGGCGACTTCGGGACCCTGGGCCTCGCATTGGATAGCTGCCATGGAGCAGGAGATGGCATCTTGGAGATCCACCGGCACCTTCGTCGACGCAGTTCCCCCGCCTGGGGTGAACGTAGTCGATGGCCGCTGGCCCTTCAAGGTGAAGCGCCCTCCTGGAGAGCCGCCTGTCTTCAAGGCGCGCTATGTGGCTGGAGGCTTCAGTCAGCGCGAGGGGGTGGACTTCTTCCAGACTTTCGCTCCGACCCCGAAGATGACTACTCTTCGGGTTCTGTTACACCTAGCTGCTCAGCGTGACTACGAGCTTCACTCACTCGACTTCTCCACTGCCTTCCTTCAGGGCAGCCTACACGAGCAGGTCTACCTGCGCCGTCCTCCGGGCTTTACTGGCACCTTCCCTCCTGGGACCCAGTGGCTCCTGCGGCGCCCCGTCTACGGCCTGCGCCAGGCTCCCCGTGAGTGGCACGACACTCTCCGTGCTACGCTTGCTGACCTGCAGTTCTTTCCGTCTTCTGCAGACCCTTCACTCTTCGTTCGTGCTGGCCAGACTCCGTTCTACATCCTCGTTTACGTCGACGACCTGGTCTTTGCCACAGCAGACAGGGACGCGCTGGCCTCCGTGAAGGCAGAGCTGCTGAAGAGACACACCTGCACTGACCTTGGAGAACTGCGCCGTTACCTTGGCTTGCAGATTTCCAGGGACAGAGCTGCGCGCACCATCACCCTGACTCAGTCACACTTGGTGCGCCAGGTCCTTCAGAGGTTCAGCCTTCAGTTCTCCTCTGCACAGCCCACCCCTCTGCCTGTAGACCACAGGCTCTCCGCTCCAGTGCCTGAGGAGTTGGTAGAGCCCAGCGGCCCCTACGCAGAGCTGGTGGGTTGCCTCATGTACCTGATGACTTGCACTCGCCCAGATCTCGCATACCCTCTCAGCATCCTGGCTCGCTTTGTGGCCACAGGCAGACACCGACCGCAGCACTGGTCTGCCGCTAAGAGGGTTCTGCGTTATCTTGCTAGTACATCGGGTATGGGGTTAGTGCTAGGAGGACGCAGGCCAGCGGTCCTTACTGGGCACACAGACGCTTCGTGGGCAGACGACGCTGAGACACTCCGGTCTACTCAGGGCTACTGCTTCAGCCTTGGCTCGGGTGCCGTCTCGTGGAGACCTACTCGCTCCTCGTCTGTTGCACAGTCCAGCTGTGAGGCTGAGATCTACGCCGGTGCCATGGCGGCACAGGAGCTCCGCTGGCTTACCTTCTTGCTCACTGACTTAGGTGAGCGGCCTAGCTCTGCCCCGGTCCTTTTCGCTGACAACAGGGCCATGATCCTCCTGTGTCAGGAGCCTCGACTCGAGGGCAGAGCGAAGCACATTCAGCTGCGGTACTTCCTCCTGCGTGAGCTACAGCAGCGACGTCAGGCTCGCGTAGTACACTTGGCCTCAGGTGCCAACACGGCTGATATCTTTACGAAGGCGCTTGCGCCTAAAGATCATCAGTGGCACTGTGTACAGCTTGGTCTAGTTCCTGTAGCCTCTCACTTGCTAGGACCTTGACTTTGTACTGTCCTTTATATGTATACTCAAACTGGACTTGTGTCCTCTCCCAGTGGCTGGACTAGTAGTGCCGCCCTGCTCTTGTGCTTGCCTTGTCTGTACTCCTTCTGACTGGTCGCTCAGACCCTTGTCTCAGAGGTTGGACTAGTAGTGCCGCCCTGAGCTGTTTGTTTAGGACTTTCCCCTATGCAGTCTAGGGGGTGTGTCAAACATGTCTATGTGTTATGTTTGTATAGACTGTATAGGGTAGCCTCTTAGAGGGTACAACACTTAGCTATATTGTGTGTACTCTCTCTGTATCACTAACACTTCAATTTCTCATAACAACACCCCTCTTTGTATCCCTCTCTCTTCTTCCCTAGACTCTTTTTTCTCTCGACATTCTCGCCTACCTCCTAGATCTAATCTCACGCCATTTCCATGGCTCCCCCCATTCCTACCTAGCCTAATTTCACAACACATATGATGAACCAGTTCTCTCATGGGTGGGCAATCGACGAGTCCATAAAAATAGGTACCGGTATTCGATTGCAGTCATTAAAAAAATTGCAACTATACAAAGCAGCAGCAGTTGAAAGCCACCAGCGCTGCCACAGAAACATCCAGAGACTCACAAATGTACACAAAGCAGTGTTGGATTTGATCATCAACATGGCATAGCATAGCACTATCTCGGCGCTCGTCTTTTTTCACCCAGTGAAAAAAACCCCAACCAACGCACCTCCTTGCCCAATTTTGCCTTTCATAGCTCCAGTTCCAGCATAAGGAATTAGACAGCAAGCAGAAAGTCACAGCAGATGCAGGTGGCGCAAGCAGGCATGCAACGCAAACATGGAAGGGAAGAGGTGGGGAGAAGAACATGGCAGGGCGGCGGTCAGCAGAGGAGCACGGCAGGCAGGGCGGCGGTCAGCAAAAGAACATGCCTCGCCTGGGGACGGGCATGACCACTGGCAGCGGCACCACAGGCGGCGCCCCCACCCGCGACGACCCGCTCGAGCTGCCTGTGCCCCCCGACCCCGCCACCTCGCCCCCTCCCCCGCCCCCTGCCCCCCTCCCCGCAGCGGACCCGCTTTCGGACCCGCTCCCGCGCGCGCTGCCCATGACGCCGTCCAGGTACAGGCGCGCGCGCGTGGCCGCCAGGTCAGCATAGTAGGCGGGCGGCACGAGGGAGACGGAGCGCGTGCAGCGCGCGTAGGTGTAGCAGAGTGAGTAGCACAGCGCCTGCATGCTATCGGCTGTGAACCCGTTCTCGTCCCACAGCACCCGGTAGTGCGTCGGCCGTGACGTGCCCTAAGGGGGGGCGCGTTGGGGTGGGGGGAGAGGGCAGAGGGGAGCAGGGTGAGGGAAGATTGAAGCGGTGATTTGCCATGGGTGGAGAGGGCAACCAGGGGAGGACAACAAGACAGTGCAGCAGGCAGAGAGATGGAGTGCAGAGGAGAGTGGCAGGCATGGCGCCACACGCCGTAGCAGCGCCATGGGAGAATGAACCACAGAGCAACACAAGGGGCCAGTGAGTCAACGAGCGGAGCAGCGGACCTGGATGGAGGCATGGGAGTTGAGGAAGAAGTCGAACTCGCGCGGGTGGCAGATGACCGTGTCCACCACGGTGCCCGGCATGACGTTGCCGTTCTTGTCGCGGTTGTTGTCGGCGGGGAACAACCGCGTGTGGTGCCGCTTCTGCACCACCACGTACGTGATGCGCGGCTGGTAGCTCCCTGACGGGTCCATGGCGCGGCACGCCGCACGCACCGACTCCAGCTCGTACGCCAGCACCTGTGGGGGGGGCACGGGGGGGGGGAGAAGAGCGTTCCAGACCGCACGGCACCACATCAGAAAACAACACACACACACACTGAAACCCGTCGAACTGGACTGCACAGCACCGCATTCCACCCACCTGGTAGAACTGCCCCTCGCTGACGCCGTCCCGGAAGAAGATGATCCTCTCGGGCTTGCACTTGGCGCTCTGGTAAAACTCCATCAACAGCTCGCGCACCAGCCCCCCCGCCACCACACTCCCGTCCGCTGCGCGGCGCTCCTCGTGGAGCCCCTCGATGATCTCCTGCCGGTGCGCCTGTGTGCGCAGCAGACACCCGTACCGGTTCGCGCACGGCCAGTCCTGGGGGGACGAGGGGGTGGGGGGGGGACCTCGCATGGTTCAGGTCATGCGTGGCATGCCACCCATGCCACCCATGCCAGCGCACGCCCATGCCACCATGCCAGCGCACACCCATGCCAACCATGCCAGTGCACACCCATGCCAACCATGCCAGCGCACACCCATGCCAACCATGCCAGCGCACACCCATGCCAACCATGCCAGCGCACACCCATGCCACCATGCCAGCGCACACCCATGCCACCATGCCACCATGCCAGCGCACACCCATGCCACCATGCCAGCGCACACCCATGCCACCATGCCAGTGCACACTTATGCCACCATGCAGCAACCGCCACACAAGCACCCACTCCATGCAGCTCGTACCCGGGACGCGACGACAGCAGCGATGGAGGGCGAGGAGTCGTCCCCCGGGCTGGGGTGCGTGACGTCGGCGCCGAAGACGACGGTGGGGCGCTCCGCCACCATGGGCAGGCGGCCGATGGACTCCGACTGCAGCAGCACGTTGCGCCCGCCCAGCTTCACGTTGATCTTCAGCACCAGGTTTGCCAGGTACTGCGACTGGCACCTGACGGGGGGAGAGGGAGAGAGGGACATAGTGGCGTCAAGAGCAGCAGCACGCTGACCTTTCGGGCTCATCCTGCTCATCCTCTTGTTTCATGGCAGCGCCTGCCAGGACTCTCCACAACAACTCACTTCTGCGCGTGGTTCACGAGGCAGCACTGCGTGACGACGTTGAGCTGCGTCTCGGCGATCAGCTTGATCTCATTGTAGAACGTGCCTCTGCCCGGCAGAATCACCACCGCCAGCTGCAGCCACTGCCCGGCCGGCACCGCTCGGCTGCTAGCATCCGCCAGCTGGCGCATGACGGCCTCCACCGCGTCCACACGGCCCGTCAGGGGCGGCACGACCGGGCGCGGGTTCATCTGAATGCCCACAGACAGGGAGGGGGGGCGCGTGCGAGACGGGGGCATGGTTGCCATGCTTGCTTGCAGCAGGGGGGCGGGATGCGGTGGGGCAAGACAGAGCTGGACAGACAGGGAGAGAGGCGTTGGGCAAGGGAGTCATCATACGTACTGAGGAACCCAGGCCACTCTCAGTGACTCACGTTCACGCCCAGCTCGGCGCATCGCTGCGCGAGCGCAGTTCCAAAGCGCTGCACGCCGGCAGCATCAAGGTAGTGCGCGAAGTTGAGGATGGTCCAGTGCGTGATGGTGGCGCCCTCGATGAGGCGCTGCCCGCCCATCATGTTCCACGCGCCGAACCGCGGCACCACCTGCCGTGGGAGGGGGAGGGTTGCAAGGGCGGTAGCGGGCGGATGCAGGGAAGCGTGAAGAGGAGAGTACCGCCCATCATGTTCCACGCACCAAAGCGAGGCACCACCTGGCGAGGAACGGGTAGAGAGAGGGGTCGGATGGGGAAAGGAGTGTGTACAGGGCCAGGGCGGAGTTGAGAAGGCCAGAGCACAGATGAGGCGAGCGAGTAAAAATCTAGAAATTGTACCCCGAACTGCCATCCTTCCTGTCCCTCTTCACAAGGTGGGGCGCATGCAGCAGGCAAACTCATCATCCCACCCACCCACCCCCCCCTATTCCACGGATGCACGCCCTTCTTGTCCTTGTACACGAGGCAAGCAGACGCCCACACCCATCCAATCTCCCATCTCACCCCCCACACCTGACACCCCTCCTTATTCTCTCCCCTCCCCCTCTCCCCCCCGTGGCACGCACGTCCTTCTTGTCCTTGTACACGAGGCGCGGGGCGTCCAGCATGCGGCCCTGCAGGCGCGTCATCTCCGGGTGCACGCGCATGCCGAACTCCCGCGCGTAGGGATCGCTGCAATGGGGGGGGGGAGAAGGATGACGAGGACGAGCGCGGAGAGCATAGTGCCAGCGCGTGGTGGCTGAGGGAGGGAGCGAGCGTGGTGAGGAGGAGAGAAGTGGGCAGGCGGCAGGGCTGGGACGAGATAAGAAGGCACGGCATGCAGCATGCACGTTCCGCCATGAAGCCAGCTCTTGTTGAACCATGCCGGCCCACTCTTTCAGTTTCGCAGCATCCAGCACTCACTTGGGGTAGTCGTTGCCGGCGACCAGCTTCCCGATTTCACCCGCGCGCACGTCGGGGCGCGTGCAGGTGAAGCGCAGCAGGTTGCTGACCTGGTCCTCGCTCAGCTTGGGCCCGTACCGCTGCCCGCCCACGATGCGGCACACCTCCATGGGCAGGTAGCTCTTGCCGCTGCCGCCCGCCATGACGCACGGCAGGTTGGGGTGGCGCACGGTGTAGCCGTAGGCGGAGCGGAAGTAGGCCACGAGGGACGTCTCGCCCTGCCCCTCGATCGTGAACGACAGTGCGTGTGCGGGCTCGCGGGTTAGACCCTGCACGCGGTAGCTGGAGGGATGGAGGAAACGGCAGCAGCACCGGGACACCAAGGAATTGAAGAAGAATATGCATGAGACAGGGTGTGGGGGGAGGTGTTGGAAAGATGCCCCCTGGGGACTGCACGCATGCAGTCAAGTCAAGTGCAATCATGATGCCGTGGCAAGAGTCCACACGGCCATGGGAAGGGTCTCACGGCCTGTGGCAAGAGTCTCAAGCAAGGGATGCAATGCAATGAGGTCGAGACAGCACGGGATGTTGTCAAGCGGTACGTTCCCGGGGAGAAAGAGAAGTGAGACAACAAGTGAAGGGGCATGGTTGTGTTGCGTGGCAGCACACACCCATTCTGAACACTCACCGCCGAGGCGTGTCGCGGTGCGTGACAGCCACCTTGATCCCGTGCAGCGCGCGCCGCAGCTTCACGCGCTCCCCGTCACTCAGCGACGCGTTCGGGGCAAACCCCCCTCCCCCTCCCCCTCCCCCTCCCCTCCCGCCTCTCCCCCCATACCCGCCCCTCCCCCACCTCTCCCCCCCCCTCCCCCTCCTCCCCCGCGACCCAAAAACTCGGCAGCAAAGTCGAGGAGCGGCATATCCTGGTGGAAGGCAGTGGCGGACATGTCCACGTTGAGCGCCAGGCCCTGCTGGCTGAAGCGCACCGACTGGAAGAACCCGCGGTACCCCGCCACGCCGCCGCCCAGCGCTGTGGAGCCAAGGGACGCCGAGTACAGCGAGCGCCCCACCGGGGAGAGCGTGGCCAGCAGGCGCTCCCTCAGCGCCACGTCCAGCGCCTTAAGGGGGGGGAAGCGGGAGGGAAGAGGAGAGGTGGGGGGAGAGGGGAGGGGAGAGGTGGGGAGGTGGGGGGCGGGGAGAGGTGGGGAGGACGGGGGTGGGGAAGGTGTGGTGCATGGGGAAGGAGCCAAGCGACATACACGCGCATGCAGAGAGGCATGCATAGCGGGTGGCAGACGGAATGCGCAAGAGGTGGCGCGAAGAGGGGGAGGGAGGAGGCTGTGCGCGTGGTATAGGGGCAGCGGCTTGCCTGCAGCAGCACTTGCGGGATGTCGGCCTGGCGGCCCTTGAGAAACGCCGCCATAGGAGCCATGTGGTACTGCTGCGCCATCTTCGGCGTCTCACTTGTACCGCCCGCTCCCTGTAGGTCCACTCACAACTCACCTGCAGCAGCACTTGCGGGATGTCGGCCTGGCGGCCCTTGAGGAAGGCGTCCATAGAAGCCATGTGGTACTGCTGGGCGATCTTCAGCGTCACCTTTATTGCCCGCTCCCGTCGCTCGCCCCCCCCTCCCCCCCGCCCCGCCCTCCTCTCCCCCCCCTCCCCCCACCGCGCCCAGCACTTGCTCCTCCTCGGCCTCCCCCCGCGCCCTGGCCCTCGTCTCTGTCGGGCAGCACCACACGGAACTCCTGGCTCTCGAACGGCAGCGCGCGCGCCGTGTAGAGATTCTTCGCCCCGTCAAACACCGGCTGCACGGGGACACTGGGGCCGCCGCGGGCGCCTGACGTGGCGAGCTGCGACTGGTAGGTGATGGCGAGCTGGCGGATGACGGCGCGCATGACGCCCTTCGAGGCGACGGCGGGGGAGAACTCCACGTCATAGTGGTAGATCACCAGGTCCTGGGACGGGCATGGGAGGAAGAAAGCAAGCAAGTATGGCATCGTGGGCAGCACGAGAGAGAGGAATAATGGTTTTGAGATGCCTTGCCAGTCCACGTCGTAGTGGTAGATGACCAGGTCCTTGGGGGGGCATGGGAGGGAGGGCGGCATGGGCAGCGCGCGAGAGAGAGGGATGATACTTCTGAGACGCCTCACACGTCGACGCCGCGGTGGTAGACGACCACGACTTGCGGGGGATGGCCGCACGGCCAGCATGGCAGCATGGCAGCAAGAGCACGAGAGGCGGAGCAAGGAGCGCGGAGCGGGCGGTTGAGCTCCACGGGAACGGCGACTTACTGCCAGTCCACAGCTCTCCGTCATTCCCGTTCTCCCCTACTATCCTCTCCTTCCCCCCCCTCCCCCCCTCCCCCTCCCCCTTCCCCCGCACCTGGAAGTCGATCTTGAAGTGGTTCGCCAGCAGCATCACGGGTCGCCCCGCCTTCCCGAATCCCGGGCGCGCAGCCGCCACCAGGGCCCGGCTCGACACGCCCGCGGGCCCCGCCATCGTCACCGCCACGCCCGCCGCTGCTGCAGGCGGCGCAGCCGCTACGGGCGCAGGCGCAGCTGCCGCTGGCGCGCGCGCAGCAGCAGCAGGAATAGGGACGGGAGCAGGCGCAGGTGCAGGGATGGCGGCGGGAGCACGCGCGGGTGCGAGAGCGGGGAAGTCTGCGGGTGGGGCGGAAACACCCATGTGCGCCATGCCTGCGGTGATGCCCCCAACTCCCCCCGCTCCTGGCGCCTGCTCTCCGCGTCCTCCCCGCCCGCGCCCCCCGCGCCCACGCCCTCCGCCAGCAGCAGCGGCTCCTGGCCCCCCTGGTGCTGCTGCGGGAACGGGCGCGCCCCTTCCCCCTGCTGGCGCGCCTCTCCCCCCCCGACCTCCAGCTCCTGCGGGACCCGCCGCGCCTCTGCCGGCAGCCGGCGCGTGAGACGGCGCTGGTGACGATGGCGGTGCTCCGCTGCGCGTGGGAGAGAGAAAACGGAAAACGAAGAGACACTTCATAATCTATCGGCTGTTTGTATAATATCCTGCTATTCCAGTCAGAGTGTCTCAGAGATAAGAGACATGGCGTGCCATGGCAGCGACCACGCCCGAAATATCTCGCTAAAGACGAGCAACGGAATATTCAGAAGGGAGCGAGCTGGGTTGAAAAAACGCTGCCAGCGAGCAGTTACCTCGGCGCACCACCTTCCCCGCGCCCCTGTGCTTCCCCGCGACCTCCGCCTGCACCTCCGCCTCGCTTCCCCTTCTTAGGCCCCATGCGAGCGAGAAATGGAAAGAAGCTCGGTGGGATGAAGGCACAACGCGAACGCTAGAGACCGAAATTTCATGAAAAGTTGCTATGCTCCTGGCAAGAGAGACGCGAGAACAACGAGGGGAGAATGCGAAGAGCTGCTGGACCGACGGCCGAGTTAATTTCTGGCAAGGCAGCTACCGTGTTGCGAACCAGCATCTCTTGCTACAAACGCGCCATGTTTCTCAAGACAAGTGATGATACACTCTACCCTAGCCATGGCGGTTATTTCCTTGCTCCCGCCTCCCTCACACGACTCGCGCGAATCTGTCAGTGGAGCGCGGAGGACAGAGGGGCGCGGAAGAGAAGGCAGGCGGAAGGAAACCGCAAGCGCTGGGCTCCGCCAGAAGGCCGAGAGCGCCAGCCAATGGCCGTCATGGTTTTCGGGCAATGTGCCTCGGGATTGGTTCGCGCATGACATGATGCATCAAGGATGGCTGTACGTCCTATAAAACAACTCCAATCCAACCACAGTACTTTCGAACCACGTAACTCTGGAAGTGTAACGATAGATGGGGTTCTGTCATTACTTCTATAGAAGATTTAATAGTAACATATTGTATTTATGCTACACGAACATTCCGCACTGCGGTGTAGGTGAAGTCTAACGGACAGAACAGCCTCTTGCTGTTGGCGGGTAAATCAGAGGTTTTCAGGGCAAATCTGCAAGCCGCTGCTGAAGGAAGCAAATCCTCCCGAGGTGGTGTCCGATCACGCCGAATTTTATCCAATAGCAGCATGAATCGTTCTGGTAACAGCAGGCAGCGCTGCGGTTTGCACAGAACTCAGGAAGTTTCAGTGCGGCTCGCTGAAACAAATGGATGTTACAGCGAGAAGCGACGCGGAACGCCGCCGGGACTCAGTTCAAACCAGCAAAATGGGTACGCCCGAGCAGCGGAATCCAGGGCTAGTCGTTCTCTGAGGCAGAGCTAGGGTTTGGTGCCACAGAGACAGCAGCAGCAGCAAACCACGAACAGCCTCTCGCTGTGCGGCTCAGCCCGCCATGAGCTAAATGACCAAACCAAACCCTCGCCCACCTAGCGCATCGTCCTGCGGCGACCAGGGAATCGCAGCTCGCGACGCGGCCATCTCTGTTGCCCACGCCTCAACCACTCGTTTCCCAAGTTCCTTTCATTTCCAACCAATCAACTCCAGAATCTCGATTTTTGTAGCCTATGCGGCAACCAACGGACTCAAATTTTCTAGAAAATCTGGCGCCAAGAAGCAGACAATGCGCTGCTCCATTTGCCTCGAGAGTCCTCCCATTTGGTTGCCCCACGCAATCCCAACACAACTTCCTTCTTCTGCCATTCAGCCACATTTCTAGGCCAATCTTTCTGCTCTCCGGCTCATTTCACCTAGTTCTTCTTCGTCCTCTCAACCAGTGCTCGAAGTTCTTGCCGTTTTTTTTTCCTTAGCCGAGCACGTCGTTCTCAATATTCGCACGACGAGAGTCGAAAAGTCGACGCGCGATCGCGTCACTGTCGCCGTGACTTCAACAACATGCTTGTAACAGAGCAAGCCGACATGTTTTTTTTTCCGGCGGGACACGTCGAGACCGTCGGTAAAACCTCGGTGGTCGCGACGCTCAAAGTACGTTTTTTTTTTTTTTTTTTTTTTTTTTTTTTTTCGTCTGCGTTGATTTACTTCGTGAGATAGCTTTCTAACATTGTACTTTCGACTTTTGCGTTTGTTTCTGGCAGGATTTAAGTCGCAACACCTGAGTTGCACCGGCGCCGATCGCCGACGGAACGCGTCCCAACGATCGCCACAAGACAATCTTCCTCACCGGGACTGGCGTCACACATGCTCCCGAGCCTGCATCTCTCTCAAATCGCCACGCCTGCGCGGCGAGGTCTGCACTCGGCGCTGTTACAATCGGCGATGCCTTCATGCGAGCTCGTTTCAGAAGCTCCCCATGCTCGCGACGCGACGCTCAAGGTGAGAGCCGCTAAGTCGTTCTCAAGGTATCTTTTGATTTCTTCCATCATTTGAGACTGACGTCAAGATCTCGTTTCTGGCAGATTTCAAGTCCGCACTGTCGGCGCCTCTCCACGGATCGCTGGTCATCGCTCTGCACGTCGTGCGACCAGCGCAGTCGCCTGTCGCAGCCACGAGCTACACGCGTCTGGGCGTCGCCTCGCGCGGTCGGCGCGAGCGAGTGGCGGAGTGCCGGCGATCGCTACTCGTTCAAGCCGGTCACCAATCTGGAGCTGCGAAACCCAACCGTTAATCCGATCGACTTTGAAAACGATGAGGTAAGTCGGCTAACGAGTGAATCGGGGGGGTTGAGTAGCGCGCATATAGCGAGTCATGCTGGGTCTGCTTCCGCGTCCTTGCCAACGTCATCCATGCACCAACGCCTTTCGTTCCCCGACCCCTTGTTCCCCGCGCTGCCCTCCCCCATCTCTCCTAGTCTGCGAGGCACTGGAAGCGCGTGCCGAGCGTCGCGGCTGCAAGGAGCACGAGTCTGTTCGCGACGAGCATGAAGGCGGTTAAAGCGCGCGTGCAGCCACGCCAGCACGGAGGGTCGCCGTGCTGCAAGGAGGGTCGCCGCGCAAGCAGGGAGGTCGCCGCTGTGCGTGAAGAGCTTGACAGCGGTTGAAGCGCGCGTGCAGCCACGCCAGAAAGGAAGGAGGGTCGCCGCCAAGGAGGGAGGGAGGGTCATCAGCTGCATCAGCAGCTGCCAGGAGGTGTCGAGTAAGTCACGCGAGGAAAGCACTTGGGGGGGTCGACTACGAGTCTACCATAGCGCGCCTAGAGAGTCACTCCGTTGCTTTCTTCCGCGTCCTGTCACACTTCTGTGCACGCCCTAACCCTCCCCCCCCCCCCCCCCCCCCCTCCCCTCTCCCCCCTCCCCCCTTTCCTTCCCCGTCTTCCCTATGCTCCCCGCCCCCCCACTCCCTCCTCCATGTTTCCGCGCGCAAGGCACTGCGAGCGAACGGGTCTGCAGCAGCGAAGGCGGCGTGCGGAGTGGCGAGGAGGGGAGCCGTCGCCGCCTGCTCCACCACCAGCTGCCGCACTCGCCTGCTGTTGCCTCCTCCCGGCCTGGTCTGCGCACTCAACGAGCGCGTGCTGCTCTGCGCCCTCAACCAGGGCGGGTAACCCCCACGCGGCTGGGCTGCCATGGGCAGCGAATGCAAGGTATACGCGCCCATCCAGGGAGGTGGGGGGGCGAGTAGGCGTCTTAGCGCAGCGCGCCTAGAGAGTCACGCCGCTTCCTGTGCTTGCGTCCTGACCTCATCCCTGCATGGACTAACGCACCCCCCCCACCCCCTCCTCTCCCCCCCCCCTCCTCCCCACCTCTCCCCTCAACCCCCCTTCCACCCAACCCCACTCCTCCAATCCATGTGTTCTGGAGGCGAGCGGTGGAGGCGAGCGGTGGAGGCGAGCTAGGGCAGCGGAGAGGAGTGCACGGCGGAGTGGCAGTGGCAGCCGCAGCGCTAGCAGCCGCCCAAGGCCCAGCCGTGAGGCAGCAAGGCGGCAGGTGAAGGTTGAGTATCGCACTGCACTCACCTGCACCTGGCTCACCCACGACCTTCCCCCCCAGGTAACCCCAGGTGGTAACAGCCAAGCCTAAGGTAAGGTTCAGCCGGTATGGTCCTCTGGGTGAGCCGTGGTTCATGCACCCCCTGCACGCTCTGCAGTCGCTGCACCCGCTTTCTCTCATTGCGAACTCCTTGCAGCAGTCCCTTGTCTGGTGCTGCCACTTATTGCCTCCCCCACTCCCCCCCCCCCTCCCCCCTTTCCCCCACCCCCCCGCCCTTCTCTCCCAGGCACTCCACCTGGTGAGTCTGCAGAAGAAGCTGAAGCAGAAGAAAGGTGAAGTGGTCGCAGCAGCAGCAGCAGCAGCAGCAGGGCAGCAGCAGCAGCAGCAGCAGCAGCAGCAGCAGCAGCAGCAGCAGCAGGGCAGCAGCAGCAGCAGCAGCAGCAGCAGCAGCAGCAGCAGCAGCAGCAGCAGGGCAGCAGCAGCAGCAGCAGCAGCAGCAGGGCAGCAGCAGCAGCAGCAGCAGCGGCAGCAGCAGCAGCAGCAGCAGCAGCAGCAGCAGCAGCAGCAGCAGCAGCAGGGCAGCAGCAGGGCAGCAGCAGCAGCAGCAGCAGCAGCAGCAGCAGCAGCAGCAGCAGCAGCAGCAGCAGCAGCAGCAGGCAGCAGCAGCAGCAGCAGCAGCAGCAGCAGGGCAGCAGCAGCAGCAGGGCAGCAGCAGCAGCAGGGCAGCAGCACACCAAGTCCGCGCATGCAGGGATCAGCACACGCGAAAGATAAGTCTCCCCACCCTCACTTGCCATTGCCTCGCCAGTATTAGTTCACACCCATCTGCTCTTCACTGCTGCTCCTTGCCACTGCCACTGCTACCATGGCACGTGGCTCACCAAGGGGACCCTCCCCCCAGGTAAAACATAAGGTACTTTTAAACCCCAGGTGGTGAGGTAGGGTAAGGTTCAGCTTGGTACAGTCCTCTGGGTGAGCTGCTGGCTGCTGCATCACATGCCCCCCCCCCCCCCCCCCCTCCCCCTCCCCCTTGCACCCGCTTTCTCGGATGGTGAGTTTTCTGCAACGGTCCCTTGCCTTGTGCCGCCATTTATTGCCTCCTTCGCTGCACCTTCCGCCCCCCCGTCCGCCCCCCCACCCACCGCTCCCCTCTCTCCCAGGCACTCCACTTGGCGGGTGTGCAGCAGTGGGCGAGCGATGAGGGGCAGCAGAGTGGCAGCAGCGCGCCCAAGGCCCAGCCGCGAGGCAGCAAGGCGGTAGGTGAAGGTTGAGTATCGCACTGCACTCACCTGCACCTGGCTGGCTCACCCGAGGACCTTCCCCCCCAGGTAACCCCAGGTGGTAACAGCCAAGCCCAAGGTAAGGTTCAGCCGGTATGGTCCTCTGGGTGAGCCGCTCACTGCAGCATCACATGCACCCCCTGTACCCACCCACCCTGCTCGTGAACTTTCTGCATCAGTCGCTTGTCTTGTGCTGCCACTTATCGCCTCCCCCACGGCCCCTTTCTCGCCCCGCCCCTCTCTCCCAGGCCATCCCCTTGGCGAGTGCGCTGCACACGGCGAGCGATGAGGGGCGGCAGAGTGGCAGAGGCGGCAGCGAGCAGCACGGCCAAGCTGCCTGCAGTGGGGGGGGAGGAGCTTGGAGGCAGCACGGCACGCAACAGGGTGCAGCAGAGGGAGAGTATGGTTTGGGTTTCAGCCACACATGGTGAGCTCTGACTTGGATTCTGCTGCATTCCTTCCTGCTCCCGTCCCTTGTAGCGCGGCCCTCCTGCCATGGTTTCGTTTTTAGCACGTCCCTCCCTCTGATTGCTGCACTGACCTCCACTCGCTCTTCCCTCCCCCCCCTCCTCCCCCTTCCCCCTTCCCTTTCCCCCGTCCGTGCAGGTGCCTGCGTCAGGGTGGGAGGAGCAAGGCAGCAGGGCAAGCGACTGGGGTGTGCAGAGGGAGAGTGGCGCATGCAGCCTTTGGGGTCCGGCCAAGCATGGTGAGCCTCTCCTTTCACTCTCGCGTTTTCTCGTCCGTTCCCTTGTAGCCGGCAAGCCTTGCTGCATCCCGTGCTTCCTCTTTTACTCTACTTTTCCCCGCTTGCTATTTTCCCCGCTTGCTATTTTCCCCGCTTGCTATTTTCCCCGCTTGCTATTTTCCCCGCTTGCTATTCTCCCCGCTTGCTATTCTCCCCGCTTGCTATTTTCCCCGCTTGCTATTTTCCCCACTTGCTATTTTCCCTCTGAGTCATTTCGTATGTCTCTTCTCTCATTGCTCTTATCCTCCCTCATCCCGTCCCCATCCCCCCTCCTACCGGGGTGGCAGTGGCGACGGCAGCAGCAGCATGCAGCAGCCGTGGGGGGAGGGGGGGAGGTAAGGATGAAAGGAAGGGAGGAGGAAAGGAGGGAGGGAAGGAGGGGAGTATGCCTGGCTGGAGATGAGGAGGCGAATCAAGCCAGAGCATCAGAGTCAGCTGAGTATCCTCTCCGCCCTGCACCCACCCACCCACCCACCCATGCGCGCCACACCATGCCATGCCTTGTTTGCTCCCCTCTTGCTTTCTCGCAGTCAAACCACACCGCTTGTGCGACGAAGCTCACAACCCACAGACCAGCAGCAGCAGGTAAAGCCCCAGGCTACGCCATCCCCCCTGCCAGGTACCCCCGCTTTGCAGGTGAATACTCACACCCCCTGCACCCTTTTCGAAGGAGGGATTGAAGCGCGCTGGTCGGATACGAGCAGGCCCACCAAGTGAATGGACGAAAACCAGCTAAGTACCCTCTCCTCCATCTCCTCCGTGCACCCACCCACGCCTGCGCGCCACACCCATGCCATGCTCCCGTCATGCTTTTTTGCCTTCGAACCACACCGCTTGTGCAACGAAGCTCACAATCCACAGACCAGCACCAGCAGGTAAAGCCCCACGTTAAGACCCAGGTTAAGACCCAGGTTAAGACCCAGGTTAAGACCCAGGTTAAGACCCAGGTTAAGACCCAGGTTAAGACCCAGGTTAAGACCCAGGTTAAGACCCAGGTTAAGACCCAGGTTAAGACCCAGGTTAAGACCCAGGTTAAGACCCAGGTTAAGACCCAGGTTAAGACCCAGGTTAAGACCCAGGTTAAGACCCAGGTTAAGACCCAGGTTAAGACCCAGGTTAAGACCCAGGTTAAGACGCAGGTTAAGCCACCCCCTTAGCAGGTACCCCTCCTTGCAGGTAAAACTCTTACGCCCCCCCACACCCGCTGGTCTGTGGATTGGCGCTGCAGTTGCACAAGCGGTGCTCCCCCCCCCTCGTTTTCTTTCCAGTCGTGCACGCGTTCTTCACTCCTGCCGCTCCACTCCTCACATTGCCCTCGCTTTTCTCCCGCACCCACTGACTTCCCTTCCTTCCTCCCGCCTCCCCCTTCCCCTCTCGCAGGTCACCTGGATTCGAAGCAGCAGCAGCAGCAGCAGAAGCAGCTGAAGCGGCTGAAGCAGCAGTAGGGGGGGCTAGGTAGCTAGAGGTCAGGCTAGTGTAAGAGAGGAGGTACCAGGTGAGGTGAGGTATGGCATGGCATGGTGTGGCATGTGCTTGGTCATGCGTCACACCCCTCCCTCCATCTCCTCCCCCCACCAGGCGTGCTTCTGCGATCGTGGGCTCATGGCTACTCAGAGCACAAGGAGAACGAGGTGCCCCCCCCCCCTCACCCCCCCTCTCCCTCCATCTCCGCCCCCCACCAGCTGTGCGCTCCATGCATGGGCAAGGCACAGGCGCGGCTGCTGCTCACAGCAGGAGCGAAGGAGTTCCCTCACTCACCACCCCTTCTCCCTCTCCTCTCCCCCCCCCACCAGCTGTGCGCTCCACACATTGGCCAGGCAAGGGCTTGGCTGCTGCTCACAGCGGGAGAGGAGGAGTCTCCCCACTCACCACCCCCTCCCGCTCTCCTCTCCTCCCACCACCAGCTGTGCTCCTCCAGGCCAGAGGCGTGGACGCTCACAGCACGGGTAGAGGAGCCCCCCACTCAACCCCCCCCCCCCCTTTCCCCCCCCCAACCCGCCCACCCCCCCGACCCCCCTTGACTCCTGCTGCTTCAACCCTCGTGGCGTGGTGCTCTGCATGGCTGGTAAGTGAGGTCAGGAGGTGCGGTGGAAAAGGGAGGGAGGGTGGATGGGAGGGGGGGTAAGGCATGGGAGCATGTGTGCAGTTCACTCTCTTAGCGGCAGCACCCACTGTGGTTCTGGCTTGTGGCTCGGGTGTGGTCAGTGGAAAGTGTGTGGCACGGCAGTCGTTCCTCAAGTACCCATACTGGCGTATCGTATAATGGAACCGGCCAGAGCCGTGCGCGCTGGCTCTGGTTGGGAGTCCCCTCCTACGACGCTTTCGTAAGCGGGATTTGAGTCTTGGGCCGCCCGTGCACTTTCCACTGCCACTCCTTGCCCCACAAGGCAGAGCCTTGGGGGGTGCTGTTTCCCAGGGGAGTGGGTTGCATGCTGCTCCTAGTGCTGGGGGGAAAGGGGGGCTTGGGAGGTTGACTGGGATGGTGGTGGTGGTACAAGGGGGTCGGCAGCCACCACTGTAAGTTGAGCGAGAGGGAGAGAGGGGAAGGGGGGCTGAACCCCCCAGGGAAACTGGGTGAGAGGGACGGGAGAAGGGGGGGATGAAACCCCCCTGCCCCAGGGTAGTTTGGGTGAGGGAAGGGAGAAGGGGGTCTGAACCCACCCTGGGTAAGTTGGTTGATGGGCAAAGAAGGCGACTGCAACCACCACTGTAAGTTGAGCGAGAGGGAGAGAGGGGAAGGGAGGCTGAAACCCCCCTGGGTGAGTTGGGAGAGGGAGGGGAGAAGGGGGTCTGAAACCCCCCAGGGTAGTGTGAGGGAGGGTGGCAAAAGGATGGGTGGTGAAATTCCCATGGTTGGGTGAGAGCAAGGCAGGGGAGGGGGTTTGCAACTCCCAGTGTAAGGCTGGCGAGGGGCAGGGGGGGAGAGGGGGGTTGAAACCCTAGGGGTGGGCGAGCAGGGGGCAGAGGAACCCCTCTCTTCTGCCTTCCGTTCGCCTAACCCCCAGGGGTTCCATCCCCCTCTCTTGCCCCTCAATGGCCTTACCTTGGGGGTGTCAGCCCGCCTCCCCTGTCTTTCCCTCATGCTGCCTTGGAGCTTCACCCCCTAAATCTGCCAACCCCTCTCCTTGCTCTCTCCTCTGCCCCAAGGGGGCTGCAATTCTCCAGGGTACCCCCCTGGGAGTTGAAACCCCTTTACACCACGATGAGCTGGAGCCAACAATGTGAGGTGAGAGTGAGGTGGGATCAACCCATAAGGTGGGTGAGTGAGAGTGAGTAGTAGGCTGAAGCCCTGAGAGTGGATGTGAGGGGGGCTGACACCCTTGAGGGTTTAAACCCCTAGGAATAAAGCCCCCAAGCGGGGATCAGACCCTGAGGTGGGTGAATGAGTGAGAAGGGGGCTTTACCCCCAAAGGCGAGTGAGTGGAAGGGAAGGGTTGAGCCTAGAGCTCCACATGATGGGCAGCAAATTATGATGCCCCACGTGTTGCCTGATGCTAGACGCCCGATCATGTGGGTTCTTTGGCTCACCCCTTTCCAGTGTGAGGCAAGGCAGGCAAGGGAGGGGGTTTCAGACCCCAAGTTACAAGGTGAGGCAAGGGAGGGGGTTTCAGACCCCACGTTACAAGGTTAGGCAAGGGAGGGGGTTTCAGACCCCAAGTTCCAAGGTGAGGCAAGGGAGGGGGTTTCAGACCCCAAGTTACAAGGTGAGGCAAGGGAGGGGGTCTCAGACCCCAAGTTGCAAGGTGAGGCAAGGGAGGGGGTCTCAGACCCCAAGTTGCAAGGTGAGGCAAGGGAGGGGGTTTCAGACCCCAAGTTACAAGGTGAGGCAAAGGAGGGGTTTCAGTCTCTAAGTTACATTATGAGGCCAGATAGGGGCTCTCACACCCAGACTGTAAGTTGAGTGGGAAGGGTGGGCTTCAGACTTCAACTCACACCCCGACTGTAAGTTGAGTGGGAAGGGTGGGCTTCAGACTTCAACTCACACCCCGGCTGTAAGTTGAGGGGGAAGGGTGGGCAGTGGGATGTGGGATAGTGATTGCAAGGTGGGGACAAGGGGTTGAAACCCCAGGGTATGATGGGTGGGTTCAAGGAGGTGGCACGAGGGTTGAAAACCCAGTGTATTTTTGCAGGTTGATGATGATATGCCATGTGCATCAATCAGGGTATGGTAAGACGATGTGACCACGGTGATCATGCCTTGACCCCAGCCAAGGGGTTGGAGCATGATGGTGATCATGCGCCACTGATGTGATGAGCAGGGGGCACATGGATGAGCAGGGGCACATGGATGAGCAGGGGCACATGGATGAGCAGGGGCACATGGATGAGCAGGGGGCAGATGGATGAATAGGGCACATGGGATGAACATGGGTGTGTTGGGGCCCCCAGGCCAAATTTCATATCATCTGGATTGGCTTGGGTGGATTTGTCCGAGTTGGCAACCCTTCAGCACGACCTTGTTGGAAGTAGGATTTAGTGCAACGGTACGTTTGTATATATGAGTAATACTTTGAAGTTTTCATTTTTGTGAAAGATTGTTACAGAACTCTATATAATGGAACTTCTAGGCTCCTTGTACAGAACACAACCAAACTGGCCCTGTGCTTTCTCGACACGTGGCGGCCTCGTCGTCCACCCCGAATCCCGCCACGTCACCTGCTGAATCACAACACTCTCCTCTCCCCACCCCACTGTCCACGTCCATTCCCCTGCCACCCAACACCTTCCTGCATCCCCACTGCTTCCTGACTTCCCGCTCCCCGCATCCAAAATTCCCGCAGCCCCGCTCTTGCGAGCGCAGTCTCCCCCTCCCCTACCGCCGATTCTCTGCACCGCAGATTCCAGCGCCTTTGCGCGCACCCTCCCTCCCGTCGCCCTTCCAGAATCTGGAATGCAGCCAGAGCAGGGAGCAATTTGGCATTTCCTGCTTGCTAGCCTCCGCTGCACCAGCGCCATTCTTCGTCGTCTGCTCTGCGTCGCATGTTTGAAGCCTTCAGGGACGGATTTCTGGCCAGCTCGGCAGATCGCACGCGTTCATAAGTTCGAGAAGTTGAATCAGTATTGAGTTCATGACTGGTGCTGCTCGTGCGATTCTGGCCAGATTCCGCCCGTCACTCGCGCTCCTAGCTTCGCGCACGCCTCCCACGTCGAGAGATCTGTCCGTGGCATCAGCGTCCGTCTCGCCGTACCTCTCCGTATCCGCTGCTTCCCCGTACTCCTCTCTTCGCATGCTGACGTCAGCTGTCATGTCAGGCGCTCTTTCCACCGCCGCCGCCCCTTCCGCGGCTGCTGTTGCGCCGACCGCAGTCCCGCGCGCGCATTCCGCCGCTCGTGGAGAGTCTCTCAAGGGGGTTATACAGATCCCGAGCGCCGCTCCTCGTGGTTTGCGCGGGGAGCCATGGCGCGGGCTGCGCAGGCTGACTGGCGGAACCGTTGCGCCATCAGCGGTGCTTGCGCGGAAGCTGGTCGCTAGCGGTGCGCGGGTTCCGCGCGTGTCGTGCTCCGCAGCGTCTTCTGGATCCGTCGCCGCCGCTCCCGCCGTTCCGCTAGGTCTGCGATCTCTCCGACTATCGGTTTTTTCCGAGATGTACCGTCGCTAGTTCTAGTGTGCCGTGTCTCAGTTTTCTCTTTGCGACTCGTCCGCTCATTCCGTCCGTAGAGCTAAGCACAGAAAAACAGTTCCCTTCTTTTTTCCGCGTTGTCTTCCGCCGCTGTGCTCTCCCCCGAACCATCCACCTGCGCTGCTTGGTTGGCCGCCGTCATGCTCTCGCCGTGCTGCAAGGCCGAGCTGAGAAGCTTTGGTCCCTCCCCAATGCGTCTGACGCGCCCGTCGTCATCCAACGAACGGCATGCGTCCCGTGATGACACCCCATCTTCCATCTTCCGTCTACCTCCCCCTTCCCCCCACCCTTCCTCCCCCCCCCCCCTTGCAGCGGCGAGCGACGAGGTGGCTGAGCGGCTGGGGTTCGAGGCGGAGCGGCGGGAGCACGTGGCGGAGTACAACGCGGAGGCGACGGTGTACCGCCACCGGCGCACGGGCGCGCAGATCATGTCGCTCAGCTGCGCGGACGAAAACAAGGTCTTCGGCATCACCTTCCGCACGCCCCCGTGAGTTGCGCACGCCCCCGTGAGTTCAAGTCCCACCCTCCGCGCGCCACCGCACGTCCCTAAAGACATCTGGTGTGTGCCCCGCTGCCCCTTTGCGTGCTTGGCCCCACGCCCTCGCGTGCTCGGCCCATCATGAACTCTCCCTGAAACGACAACCAGAGTGTCAACAGCAAGGATTCCCATTGCGGAAGAAGCGCTCGTGTTGCGGCATCCGCCGCAACGTCTAGATCCGGTTTCGCAATCCCCGTATCGCCACCGGACCGGAACTCCCCTGGTGTTGCGGATATCGCTGGCTGAAAAATAGTCTCCTCTTTCTTCCCCCCCCCCCCCACCCCCCACCCCCCCTTCACCCGTCTCCCGTGCGAGCAGCAAGGACAGCACGGGCATTCCGCACATTCTGGAGCACTCGGTGCTGTGCGGGTCGCGCAAGTACCCGGTGAAGGAGCCGTTCGTGGAGCTCGCCAAGGGGTCGCTCAACACCTTCCTCAACGCCTTCACCTACCCCGACCGCACCTGCTACCCCGTCGCCTCCACCAACCTCCAGGTAGGGTCTTTCTTCCTACCATTTGACTCAATGCTCATATTCGTCGCACTCAAAGGCGCTCTGGAACAGTTTAAATGAATTGATCACAAGCTTGTACATCTAAATGCAATCCTCGATATTTCCATCCCCCAAGCAATCTCGTCACCCTTCGATGTGTCCCTTTTCGACGTACCCACTCACCAATTCCACGGTTTTCGCTTCGTTTGCACCCGTTATTCCGGGATTCGTTATTGCGCGGCCCGCTACAGGACTTCTACAACCTGGTGGACGTGTACCTGGACGCCGTGTTCTTCCCCAACTGCGTGCGCGACGAGCGGACGTTCCAGCAGGAGGGGTGGCACTACGAGCTCGACGACCCCAAGGACGACATCACGTTCAAGGGCGTCGTGTTCAACGAGATGAAGGGCGTCTACTCGCAGCCCGACTCCGTCTTCATGCGCGCCGTGCAGCAGGTGAGGGGTGAAGCGCGCCGAGCAGCAGGTGAGAGGGTCTTCATGCGCGCCGTGCAGCAGGTGGGTGTGGGGGGGGGTGAGGTGAGGCGCGCCGTGCAGCAGGTGAGAGCGGGTGTTGATGCGGCGAGCGTGCTGTGTGTACTTGTGTGCATTGATGCAGTGAACGTTAAGTAAGGCGTGCTATGACACCTCGCGACCACGTGTGGCGTTCTCAATGTGCCGACCACTATGCCGGTGTTGCTGTGTGGTGAGGCACGAGAATAACCAGCCAAGGCCAGCGGGTTAACCATAACGGTTGGCACATTGAGCACGCCACGAGAGTTGGTGTGCCCAAATTGCTGGAACAGATTAAGCTTTTTCTTCAGAAGGCTGACGTTCTCTCTTCGCAGCCAGCAGTGATGGTGTTGTGCATTCATCCTGTATACAGAATGAATGCACATGATACTGGCTCCTCCTACCACGTGCATCAGCACCTCCAAACACTACCCAACCCTTCCCCACCCACTCTCCCTGCTTCCCCGCGCTGCTCTCGTCTCTCAAGATGGCGCATTCTATGCGCCCCTCCTCTTCCATCCCCGTTCTCTCGCCCACAAGCCCTGCTCACCGACAACGAGTATGGGGTGGGACATGTCCCGTACAGCCTCCTGTCACTACCGTTTTGTGCCCCTCGTTCCCCTTCCCTCCTCATCCGCATCCCCCCCAGTCGCGGTGGGCAGTGGCGCTTACAGGCTCACACCCTTACCGCGTTTATCGCCCTTTCCTCCTGTCCTCCCACTCTTTCCCCTCACCATACTCTCCCCCCCCTCCAAGGCGCTCTTCCTGTATGACGAGTATGCGGTGCACAGCGGCGGCGACCCCAAGGTGATATTAGCATGCGTACCGCTGCTCCCTTGCCTGTCGACTCAATGCTTTCTTCCACCCCCCCGCGCCCCCAATCCCCCCCACCCCACCCCCCACCCCACCCCCCACCCCCAGGCCCTCTTCCCCGACAACGAGTACGCGGTGGACAGTGGCGGCGACCCCAAGGTGATCCCGCAGCTGTCGTTCCAACAGTTCCAAGCCTTCCACGCCAACTTCTACCACCCCTCCAATGCGCGCATCTGGTTCTACGGGGATGACGACCCCAACAAGCGACTGGAGATGATTGCTGGTATGTACGACCAACAAGCACTGTGTGCCGCACCCATGCATAACAGTATGAGGCCTCAGCTTTCCGTGGAGCAGTTGTGAAGACTTGCACGGGCTGCTCTCAGGTCTCCCCCCCGCCTCTGCTTCCGTGTGCTGCTCGTGCTGCTCGCGCTGCTGTCACGCCCTCCCGCCACTTACAAGAATCTCCACCCCCCCAACCAACCTCCCTCCACACTCCTTCTTCCCAACCCCCCTGCATGCACCGCCCTCCCCCCTCCCAGAGTACCTGGACAAGTTCGATGCCAACCCAGAAGCACCCAAGGAGTCGCAGGTGTCCCCCCAGCCGCTGCTCTCCAAGCCGTGGCGCGTCGTCGACACCTACCCCTCCTCCGCCGACGCTGCCTCCGACTCCTCTGACTCCGAGGGCGAGGAGCAGGAGGACGCAGCATCATCATCGTCTTCAGCAGCAGCGGTGCCGCGGCGCCACATGACGGCCGTCAACTGGCTGCTGTCTGAGTCTCCCCTCTCCTTAGAGCAGGAGCTCACTCTCGGCTTCCTTGACCACCTGCTGCTCGGCACGCCCGCTGCACCGCTGCGCAAGCGCCTCCTAGAGTCGGGCCTGGGCGAGGCCATAGTGGGCGGCGGGCTGCAGGACGAGCTGCGACAGCCGGTGTTCTCCATCGGGCTCAAGGGTGTGGCGGCAGCGGACGTGCCTAAAGTGGAGCTGCTTGTAACGGAGGTGCTGGAGGAGCTCGAGAGGGATGGGTTTACGGAGCCGGCAGTGGAGGCGGCAGTGAACACGGTGGAGTTCGCTCTGAGGGAGAACAACACGGGGTCGTTCCCGCGGGGCCTGTCCCTCATGCTGCGCGCCATGGGCAAGTGGATTTACGGTGGGGACCCCATCCAGCCGCTGCGCTTCGAGGGGCCCCTGGCGGAATTCAAGGAGAAGATCCGCCAGCCGGGGGGCATCAAGGCCGTCTTCAGCCCGTTGATCCGGTCGTACCTGCTAGATAACCAGCACCGCGTGACAGTCGAGATGCAGCCAGACCCCACAAAGGCGGATGCGGACGAGGAGGCGGAGAGGGCGGTGCTGGAGGCGTTCCGGCAGAAGCTGGCGGACTCGGACTTGGAGAAGTTGGTGGAGGCCACCCGGGAGTTGAAGGAGAGGCAGGAGACGCCCGACCCTCCCGAGGCGCTGCGGTGCGTGCCGAGCCTGCAGCTGGAGGACATCCCGAAGCAGCCGGTGCAGGTGCCGATTGCGGTGGAGCGAGACGCGTCGGGGGCGACTATTCTGCGGCACGAGCTGTTCACCAACGACGTGCTGTACCTCGACCTGGCGCTCGACATGCGCCACGTCCCGGCGCACCTCGTGCCCCTCGTCTCCCTCTTCTGGTGAGCCCCATGGCGCCCCTCGTCTCCCTCTTCTGGTGAGCCCCATGGCGCCCCTCGTCTCCCTCTTCTGGTGAGCCCCATGGCGCCCCGCGTGTGTGCTCTTGATTGGCCTCCCTTCCCCATGAAGATGGGCGTCAAGGACGTCGCTGAATTCAACCAGCTCATTGCTGCCGCACAATCAACTTCCTCACGCTGTGTACCCCACAACCCCCCTCCCACCGCTCGGCTCATCCTCCCATGACAGCCAATCGCTGCTGGAGATGTGCACCAATGGCTTAATCAGCCCATCTGCCGCACCACCAGCTCCCTCACCTTGTACACATCCCATCCCCCCCACCCGCCCCCTCAAATCCTCCCGCCACCGTCCACCAGCCAATCATTGCTGGAGATGGGCACCAAGGACATGGACTTCGTTGACTTGAACCAGCTGATCGGGCGCAAGACCGGCGGCATCTCCGTGTTCCCCCTCACGTCCTCCAAGCGCGGCACCAAGGACCCCGTGTCCTACCTCGTGGCCAGGGGCAAGGCCACCTCTGCGCAGGCAGCAGACCTGCTCAACCTGGTGAGTGGCGCCTGGCGGGCACCGTGTGATTCGGGTATCTTGCTGCCGTGGTCCACTGGCGTGTGTTCAACAAGACACCTTTTCCAATCCCCCCATCCCCCCCTCCCCCCCTCCTCATGCCTGCCCTCTCCTCCGTCTCCCCTTTCCCGTTCCCCCCTGTGCGCCCCTCCCAGGTGCGCGTGGTGCTGTGCGAGGTGGAGCTCACCGACCAGCAGCGCTTCAAGCAGTTCGTGGCACAGCGCAAGCAGGGCATGGAGGTACGCCTGCCACCCGTACAATATTGCCACACACACGCGCCATCACCATGCACAGCCTTCATTGCCACACACACGCGCGCCATCACCATGCACAGCCTTCATTGCCTCCAGTGTCTTCCTCCTACTCCCTCCTTTCATCCCCATCGCGCTCCCCCTACCCTTCTCTTCCAAGCCCCCACTCCTCGCCCCTTCACACATGTCCTCCTCCCTTCTTCCCCACCCCACCTTCTGTCCCCCACCTAAACCTCTATCATTTCCCTTTCCCCCCCCTCCTGCCGCCAGTCCCGCTTCCTGGGCAGCGGGCACAGCATTGCAGCGTCCCGACTGGACGCCATGGACAGCGCGGCGGGGTGGGCGAACGAGCAGATGGGCGGGTTCAGTTACCTGCAGTACCTGCGCGCGCTGGAGAGGCGCGTCGACGAGGACTGGCCAGGTGTCGCCGCCTCATTGGAGCAGATCCGCCAGGCCGTGCTCACTGCTGACGGGGCGGTGGTCAACCTCACAGCTGATGCTGCCACGCTGGACAAGGCTGACGTGGCAGTGAAGGAGCTGCTGGCGTCTCTGCCAGCTCATCGTGCACAGGTGGCAGGATCCAGCTGGTCGACTCTGCCAGTCAAGAATGAAGCATTCCTGGTCCCCACTCAGGTGGGTGTGCATGTGGCACATATATGCAGGCGTGCACCTGTGTGCATGTGGGACATATATGCAGGCGTGCACCTGTGTGCATGTTAGCTTATGTCTGTTTTCTATTTGTCTCAGTGGTCAATTCTGTTTGCTTCTCTAATTCCTCCTCCCTCCCCCACGTCACGCCCACAGGTCAACTATGTGGGCAAGGCAGTCAACCTGTACGATGCTGCGGGGTACTCGCTGAGCGGCAGTGCGTACGTGGCGTCCAAGCTGGTGGGCATGAGCTGGCTGTGGGACCGCGTGCGCGTCAGCGGGGGTGCCTACGGCGGCTTCTGTGACTTCGACTCGCACTCCGGTATGTGTGCCATGTGCCGTGTGCCAGGTGCCGTGTGCCAGGCGAGATGTGCTGCTGCTGCACAGGCAGTCTGCTTTGCACCTATCTTGCGTGCGCCTGTGCCTGGGTCGGTGCTTCTCACCTTCCATACACTGTTCCCCCTCCTCTCCCCTCACCGCCAGGCGTGTTCACCTTCCTGTCGTACCGCGACCCCAACCTGCTGCAAACTCTGGACAACTACGACGGCTCAGTGGAGTTTCTGCGGCAGCTGCAGCTGGACGAGGATGCGCGCACCAAGGCCATCATTGGGACCATTGGGGACACCGACGCCTACCAGCTGCCCGACGCCAAGGGCTACTCCAGGTGAGAGCCCAGGTGTCGCCTCAGGTGCTGCTTCAGGTGAGAGCCCAGGTGTCGCCTCAGGTGCTGCTTCAGGTGTTCCAGGTGATCAGCTTGCGCGCTGCTGCACTTGTGCTACATGCTTACCATATTGTGCCACATCCATTGAGCCAATAGTTTCATGCTATTTCCACTCAACATCTCACCCCCATCCCCCTCTCTCATTCCCTATGTGTGTGCATGTGCGTGTGTGTGGGTGCGTGTGTGTGGGTGCGTGTGTGAGTGTGTCCATGGCAGCATGGTGCGGTACCTGTTGGATGTGAGTGAGGAGGACAGGCAGAAGAGAAGGGAGGAGATCCTCACCACCACGTGAGTTGCACACTCCCACCCCTCTCAATGAGTTGCTTCCCCTGCCAAATTCCTGCTCGTTGCTAGCCCGTGCTCCCAGACCTGCTGGCCTTGAATTCTGCTGTATCCATGCCTCCATCCTTCTCTTTGCCATCCATAGCGCCTCATCTGTTCTGCCCATGCCAGCAACAGCAATCTCAACGAGGTCATGGATCACCTGACCTGCGAGCGATGCACGCCCCCTCTTCCCCTCCCCTATCCCTCCAGCAACAACGATCCCAATGAGTGTGCGGCAATTATCTGTGAAGGAGAGCGGCGTGGTGGTGGTTGTGGCATCCCCTGGTGCTGACGTGCGCTGTTGTCTCGTGCCTCATCACCATCCATACCCTCTCTTCCCCTCCCGTTCCTCCCGCCAGCAACAAGGAGCTGAATGAGTTCGCGGACTACCTGCAAGCAGTGAAGGAGAAGGGCACGGTGGTGGTGGTGGCGTCGCCTGGCGACGTGGAGGCAGCCAATAAGGAGAAGCCAGGGTTCTTGTCCACCATCAATGTGCTGTAGATGTGCATGTAGTGATGTGTAGCACTTGTAGAGTACATATCTTTATTGCGCATGTATGCATCTCCTCAGAATAACACCATTGGAGTTCGGGTACGATTGACATAACTTCCCTTGATGTGGGAAGGCAGGAATCACCAGAAATACTTTTCAATGAGCAAGAAGTCCAAGTATAACAAAACTGGTGAACGTAAAATTGAACATGTCTATTTCATGACTGAATCGAACGGTTCAATGTCGGAGTTTCACTGTTTCTATCCGCGTCCCGCCGGACCTGTCAGAGCCATGCTCGCTCGCCCATCCCATCATCACCAGATTCCACACAAACATACTCCACATAGCACACAACCAGCGATCGCCGCATATTTACTGCGCTTGCCTGTCGAAGCAATCGTCCAGCTCCAGAGCTTTTGGATGTGTCAGCGATGACGTGTCAGTCGTTCGCCAGGTGGATCGACGGCACTGGTCGCGCCGTGACGTCAGCCGCGCGCAGAAGCACCGCGCAGCGTCACGGCGCGATCCTCTCGCGACTCCTACCCGTCAGGACGAACGATTCGCACGATCAGCCGGAATGCCAGCGCACGGCGGCTGTCAGTAGGCAGAGCCGTCGGGGGAGATCCCTGGTACCCGCGCAGCGCGCTGCTGTGCCGCGCGTCGCCAGCGCCATTCGCAGCAGCTGGCGATTCGCAATCAGCATTGCCCCGAGTCGCACGAGTACCGCGAGTAGTCCTGTCAGCGCGACTAGCGCGCGGTGTGCGCATGGCGGCCGGCGACTCAGCACGGTCGGTCGGGTGCGGGCGGGGAGCGGGGGCGCGGAGACGCGGGATGATGCGGGGAGCAGCGCGGATGCGCGCGCGGGGAGGGAGGGGTTCGCGGCGGACGGGATCATCGTGCTGGCGGGCGGCCTGAAGCGAGACGGCACCGTTCCTGGTGCGCCGCGAGCTCTCCTTCATCCCTTAACGTGAACCCTTTGAGCTTCGTGTACCCCTTGCAACGTGAGCCCCTGCTATTCCTCTCCCATAGTAATCTACCCTCTTGTTTACTCCCATCTCCCCTTCCCCTCCCCCGTCTCCCCTTCCCCTCCCCCGTCTCCCCTTCCCCTCCCCCGTCTCCCCTTCCCCTCCCCGTCTCCCCTTCCCCTCCCCCGTCTCCGCTTCCCCCCCCCCGTCTCCTCCCCCCCGTCTCTCCCCCACCCGTCTCCTCCCCCCGTCTCCCCTCCCCCCGTCTCCTCCCCCCCTCTCCCCTCCCCCCGTCTCTCCCCCACCCGTCTCCTCCCCCCGTCTCCCCTCCCCCCGTCTCCTCCCCCCCCTCTCCCCTCCCCCCGTCTCCCCTTGCTCCGCAGAGCAGTGTGGGTGGAGCGCCGCCTGGATGCAGCGGCGGAGTTATATCGCATAATGAATGGGGAAGAGGATCGCGCCGCCATGCACGGGGGGAGGGGCGGAGAGGCGCAGACAGATTCCGCCTCCCCCTCCGCCTCCGCGCCCCCCAGCGCCTGCCGGTGCCCCATAGTGGTTCTGGGGGCGGGCACGCCGCACGTGCAGCCGGTGCTGAGTGCGCACGGGCACATGTGGCACGAGAGCAGCGCGTGCGCGCACTACCTCACGGCGCAGGTGAGCTCTACCTCATGGCGCAGGTGAGCGCGAGCTGTCACGAGCTGTCACGAGCTGTCACGAGCTGTCACGAGCTGCCACGAGCTGTCATTAGCTGTCATGGTGCGCTCTGAGGTCAGCTCTTGTGTCTGAGTACCAAGAGTGCCGAGAGTACCGAGTGCCGAGAGTGCCGAGAGTGCCGAGAGTACCAAGAGTGCCTAGGGTATCGCTGCAACCATTCACCACAGCTCGCAACCCCCAGCGCATGTCTACAAATAGGCAGCCAATAGCTTGTCTCTCTTGTTGCATGCCATGCCGAGCCTCTCATCACTTACTCCCTCCCTCCCCCCCTTTCTCCCCCCCTCCCTCCCCCCCTTTCTCCCCCCCTCCCTCCCCCCCTTTCTCCCTCCCCCCCTTTCTCCCCCCCTCCCTCCCCCCTTTCTCCCCCCCTCCCTCCCCCCCTTTCTCCCCCCTCCCTCCCCCCCTTTCTCCCCCCTCCCTCCCCCCTTTCTCCCCCCCTCCCTCCCCCCCTTTCTCCCCCCCTCCCTCCCCCCTTTCTCCCCCCCTCCCTCCCCCCCTTTCTCCCCCCCTCCCTCCCCCCTTTCTCCCCCCTCCCTCCCCCCCTTTCTCCCCCCCTCCCTCCCCCCTTTCTCCCCCCTCCCTCCCCCCCTTTCTCCCTCCCCCCCTTTCTCCCCCCCTCCCTCCCCCCCTTTCTCCCCCCCTCCCTCCCCCCGTCCCCCTCTTCCCGCCCCCCCACCAGCACGCCATCCCCCCGGCGCACATCTACAAGGAGTGGGCGTCGTACGACACGGTGGCCAACGGCTTCTTCTCCCTCGTGTGGCATGCCGTGCCGCGGCGCTGGCAGCGCCTGCTCGTGCTCACGTCCGCCTTCCACATGCCGCGATCCGCCCTCATCTTCGACTGGATCTTCTCTCTGCACGGCGCACAAATCGTGCAGCCCGCCCTGCCGCCCTCCCGGCCGCCATCTCTATCCTCTTCTGCGCTCGACCTTTCTACCCTCGCTGAACCCCAGTCTCCTTCCTCCCCTTACTTTGCCTCCTCCTCCTTCTCCTCCTCGTCTTCCTCCTCGACCGCTCCTCTCCCCCTCTCCCCCTTGCGCCCACCACACGGAACGTGGGAGGAGTACATTCCCCCTTGGAGGCAGCGCGATGACGGGGCGGAAGCTACAGGGACATCTGGGGAAGGTGGATCTAGGGGAGGGCGATCTGAAGGGGGGAAGGGGGAGGAGGCAAAGGGGAATGCAGCTCTGTTGGGGGATTCACCTGATCATGTGGTTTCTCAGGTGGAGTCTCCTGGGAATCCGGCACTGCAAGGCTATGAGATTCGATTCATCAGTGCTTCAGATGAGGGCATTGACCCCGCCATGATTCAGGTGCGCTCTCAAAATGCCCGCACTCTCTTTTCGGGCATCTTTGCAAGACGGGGGTGTCTTCAGAAGGCGGCGGCGTCTTCCGAAGACGCCGAAGACGGGGGAGTGGTGAGTAGTGAGTGAGCTAGCCAGTGAGGGAGTGAGCTAGTGAGTGAGCCAGGCAGTGAGGCAGTGAGGCAGTACATACTCCGTTTATGCGTCTTTCTTCGGCTGCCCGTCATTGCACCGCTGCGCTCCTTGCCAGTCATGTGGCTCCTCACTGTGCAATGCACCGTTCCTCCCATCGGCCTCGCACCCGCCTGCTGCTCCCACATTGCATCGCTGCGCTCCCTACTGGCCTTCCACCACTACGTGCACACAGAGACGCCCCCCCGGGTGGCATCCGCGCGTTCCCCACTGCACTTGCACGCAGAGGCGAATTCCGTCTCCCCTCCCCTCTCCCCCACACCCCCACTCCACCCTCCCAGGCGCGGGGCTCCAAGGAGGCGGACAGCATCCGCCTGCTGCTGCCGCGAATCGCATCGGTGCGCACACTACCGGCCTTCCACCACTACCTCCACACAGACCACCGGGCATACAACGTGGAGCACCAAGAGGAGTTTGGGCGGGTGAAGTCTGCGGAAGAGGCGACTTTTGACCCCATCAAGCTGTGCTACTGAAGGGGCCTGGTGGATGGGATGTGGATGGGATGTGGATGGGCGAGACAGCAGTGCTTCAACCCGTCAAGCTGTGCTGCTGACGGGGTGGATGGGATGCTCTAATGGGTACGAGTCAAAGGGCTGCGCTGCGAGCCTTCCTCCACTACTAGCACACGGCCGGAGCACCGCGCTTTCAATGTGCGGGAATGGCGCTGAGGAGGCGGCTTTTGTTTGTCCAGGCTGTACTACTGGTGGGTTCTGGTGGATTGGAGGTATTGTAGTTTGCCTTGACCTGGGATACCGTTCTTGTATTCACATGGCTGGCATGAGTGTAGTCACATGGCTGGCATGAGTGTAGTCACATGGCCGGCATGAGTGTAGTCACATGGCTGGCACGAGTGTAGTCACATGGCTGGCAGGAGTGTAGGCACGTGGTTGGCACGAGTGTAGGCACATGGCTGGCACGAGTGTAGGCACGTGGTTGGCACGAGTGTAGGCACATGGCTGGCACGAGTGTAGGCACATGGCTGGCACGAGTGGAGTCACATGGCTGGCATGAGTGTAGGCACATGGCTGGCATGAGTGTAGGCACATGGCTGGCACGAGTGTAGTCACAATGAAGATTAAATGGGTTCGACCTGCAGCAAGCCACGCAGCAAGCCATGCAGCAGGCCACGCAGCAAGCCACGGAGCAGCACATGGCTGGCATGAGTGTAGTGCACATTGATGGTTCTTCAGTTGTACTCGGAGCACCAGGGCACCCTGAGCCCTAAGGGAAACCCCTCCAGCAACCCGTCCCGTCCTGCTGTGCACCCGTCACGCCTTGGCCAGGGGGACCCCCTGATTCTGCAGGGATTCGGAAATAAAAACGATTTTGGCTCTCTGCCTCAGGGCGACAGACGTATGCTATTCACAGCAGCTTTGACTCGGTTGGTGAATGGGTGAACGGGTGAGAGGGTGAGTGGCCGAAGCATCACCCATCACCCATCACCAAGCATAACCCATCATCACCCATCACCCATCACCCATCACCCATCACCCATCATCACCCATCACCCAGCATAACCCATCAATCACCCATAGGAACACGCTCTAACTCACTTATAGGGAATGAGCCATCAATTCGCAAGGGTTAAATTTTCTTCTCAACTTACAGCCCTACGAGCAAGAGCAGCAATTGGCACAAGCTGTGCCTGGCTAATGGTTCAAGAACGTGCCGAAACTCACGGCACATCTCTATGTACCTAGGTATATCCCACTGCAGACGAAGCATGCCAGGCCTGTCACAATAGAGTGCCTCCCCGGCAAACCTGCTTGGGATTGTTCCGAGCGCCAGGAGCTCAAAACTCAGCACAGGGCCAGCAGACGGCAGGGCCGAGCAGCATGCCAGAGCAGCGAGGAGAGCAATGAAAGCTTTTCCCACTCGCGCAGGGAGGGGCGGGGGGTGAAGGAGAATGCCCTTATACCCGCTGCGCCCTGGCCACCGAACCATGAGTGCCTCACCCCCAGGGCCAGCACAGCGCGGAGCAGGGCAGCATGCAGAGCAGCGAGGAGAGCGAGTGCAGCTGGCGGGTGCGGTACTCGCGGTACAGCATGAGCGGCGTGCGCGGGGGCAGGGGGGACGGCGCACGCTGCCAGTGCCCCGACAAGGGGTCTCGGATGAACACACGCGGAGCGCCGTTGGGGAAGAGGGCGTCGGAGTCCGGGGACTGGGCGAGCAGGCGGTAGCAGCTGGAGGGAAGGACGGGAGGGGGGGGAGCAGAAAGAATGTGCAATGGGGAAGCAGGGTGAGATGTGACAATGTGATGTGATGTGATTTGATGTGCTGTGCTGTGATGTGATGTGATGTGATGTGATGTGCTGTGCTGTGCTGTGCTGTGCTGTGCTGCACAGCGCTGCGATGCGATGGCAATGCGATGCGATGTGGTGTGGGTGTGGTGTAGTGTGGTGTGGTGTGGTGTGATGTGGTGTTGTGTGGGTGTGATGTGGTGTGGTATGGTGTGGTGTGGTGTGGTGTGGTGTGGTGTGGTGTGATGTGGTGTGATGTTATGCCATGTGCAGATGGCAAAGTGACACACAAACGACCTGCAGATGACGGGAGATGTGGAGAAATAAAATGCACGGGTGCACGCCATGGCGTGTGTGCTACATGTGTGCCTATCACATCGCATGCCCTCACCTGCGTATGAACGGCAGGAAGTCCGGCCCTTCAGCCAGGGGCGAGGTGGAGTTGGCGTGCAGCAGCTCGTGGTCCGTCATGGCCAGGCGCTGCCGGGCGAATGACGCCACGTCCATGAGCCTGAGAGAATGGGGGACAGCAGGGGAGAGGAGCGGGGGGGCGTGGGGGGAAGGGGGGTTGACAAAGGGGGTATGAGGAGTTGGAATGCAGCAGCTCGTGGTCCGTCATGGCCAGGCGCTGCCGGGCGAATGACGCCACGTCCATGAGCCTGAGAGAATGGGGGACAGCAGGGGAGAGGAGCGGGGGGGCGTGGGGGGAAGGGGGGTTGACAAAGGGGGTATGAGGAGTTGGAATGCAGCAGCTCGTGGTCCGTCATGGCCAGGCGCTGCCGGGCGAATGACGCCACGTCCATCAGCCTGCACGAGGTGGCGAGAGGGGGGAGAGATGCTGAGATGCTGAGATGCTGCACGGATATCAACCAGGGAAGGGAGCATGATGAGAGATAACGCAGCCTTGTCTCGCCCCTATTTGGCGGGCGGTATTGCTTGTCCCATTACCTGGTGGGCGGCAGCACAAAGCGGTCCATCTGAGAGTCGTAGAAGCGGGTGAGGCGGCCCTGGGGGCAGAGAGGGCCGCATAGAGCGGTGCAGAGCGGTGACAGCGCGGCGGGGGGGAGGGTGGAGAGCAGAGAGGGAGAGGATGCAAGCGGGGGTAGTGAGGGTGAGGGTGAGGAGGAAGAGAGGAGAGGGGAGAATGAGGAGGAGGAGAGGAGGGGGGAAGGAGAGGAGGAAGATGGCAGCGATGAGGGCATGAGGGGGGAGGATGAGGGCGTGCTGGCAGCACGCATGCTGTCGCCATCGCTGCTGTAGGGCGTGCCACCGCCATTCAGAAGGCCGGCAGTGGCGGCAGTGCCATCACTGCGAACCCCTTTTTCAGGAGTGTATGGAGTGCCCTTGTCAGCATGCCCCCCCTGCTCCTGCAACCCCTGCACGTTCCTTCCCCCCTCTACCCTCTCCCTCTCTTGCTTCCCCCCCACCAGCCGCTCCTCCTCGTCCCTCCCTCCTCCCCAGACCCCCTCCCCATCCCCATTCTCCTCACTTCCCCGCTCCCCCTCCCCCTCCGCACCCCCCTCCCCAAAGAACAGCAGCGCGTTCCTGAGCACAGCGTCCGGCCCTCTCTCCTCGGGAGTAAACACGCGCGGGAAAGCCACTCCCGACCGCAGGTGCACGGCCAGCCCGCGCGTGCAGGGGACGGGGGCGCGGCGGGAGGGGTCCCAGGTGGTGTTGAGGGGGAGCAGGGCGAGCGTGGAGAGCAGGAAGGGGCGCGGCAGGGCGTGCAGGAGATGGACGATGGCGCGGGCCACCGGGAGAGACGTGCCGGAGGAGTGGTGGGGTGAGAAGGGGGGGTCGTCTGGGCCATAGGAGGTGTGATAGAGGTCGTTGAGGTGGGCGGAGTAGGCCGAGGAATGGGAGTTGCTGGGTGGATCGGGAGTGGCATTGTGGTGCCAGGGCTGGCCGCACGTAGTGCCCTGCGACTCTGATGCTGGCAGGGGGCTCACTGCGTGCGCGCCCATGCATGCGCGCTCATCAGCACCGGCTACTCCCGTGCCCGTGTCAAAGACGCTTCCCTCTGCTCCACTCGCGTCACCGCCACCGGGCGCCGCACACACTGCACGGCTGCTGCGGCGCCTGCGCTTGCACCCCGAGAGCCGCCCGCTGCTGCTGCGCTCCAGACACCGCTGCTGCTGCTGCGATTGTTCCTCCTGCCGCTTGCGCTCTTGCTCCTGCCTCTCCTCCCATTCGTTGAAGATGCTCTCCGCGTTTCCCGGGTCGTCGTCAAACGCCCCCACCAAGTGCAGCTGCGCGGGGGGAGGGGAGAAGGGGGAAGAGGAGGGAGGATGAGAAGACAGGGGGGAGAGGGAGCGAAGGGGGAAGAGGGGGATGGACAGGTAGAGGAGGGACAGGTAGAGGAGGCAATGCAGGCTCAAGCGGGGTAGGCGGGGAAGGAATGGCATTGACATGGCTTGGAGCTGCGACAGGCGGGAGGGCACGGGCATGCGCACAAGGTAGCATACAGGTGCAGGGTGCATACAAGCACGCACACAGGCACACGTGCAGCGAGGCTTGCCTGCAGCGGCGTGGGGTCCGCGGGGTGCAGGCCTAGCGAGGCGAGCAGCGAGGAGAGCGCGCGCACGACGCACAGCGACGAGTCGACGTGCGCCAGGGCCGTGCGGCGCGACAGCGGGTGGCGGATGGCCACCGCTATGCACGTCGTCATCTCGTCCGTGCCGATCACCTGGGGCGGGGGGCATGGGGGCACGGGGGCATGGGGGATGCGGCATGGGGGCATGGGGGCATTGGGGGTGGGTGGGCGGGGGGGGGGGGGGGGGGGGGGCATTTACGTAACGGGTATGGGCAAAGACGTGGCAATGCGGAATTCAACGGCAGGAGTGGCACGAGATGGACGCACTGAGGGCCAACGAGTCACCAGCACTCACGTCAACCAAATCCACGTCTGCAGTTGCCACCTCAGCTTGTGCCACGTACACCAGCCGCTCTGGTCTCCCTTGCTCCTCCTCGCCTCCGTCGCCCTTCCTCCCCTCCTCACTCCCTAGCCCCTCTCCCTCCACTCCCCCGCCCTCCCTGCTCGCCCCCTGCCCCACTCCCTGCCACTGCGGGCGGTAGAACAAGCTGCCCTCGGCCCTCTCCCCCTCTGCCCCCGCACCCACACCCCATGCCGCTTCTGCTACTGCTCCCCCCTCTGCTGCTGATGCTGCTATTGCCTCTGCTTCTGCTTCTACCCCCCCTCTTCCTGCTGCTGCTGCGGCTGCTGCCAGTGGCGGGGGATCATTACCCTCAGCATCACGGCTGGCAGCATCACGGCCGGCAGCACCTCTACCAGCAGCACCGCTACCAGCCGCAATTCCACCAGTCATCCCCGCTGCAGCCTCACGCGCTACAAGCGTACTCGCACTCAGACTCCGCCAGATCGCCCGGGGCAGCGCGCCGCCGCCAGCATCACACGTGTCGGCAGCAGAGGCCCCGCCACGTGGCACTCTCAGAGAGCGACTCCCCGCGCCCCCTAGCATGTCTCTCTGCCGCCGCATCCACTCCCCCCCTCCGCCCTCCCGCCCCCTGCATACCGATGCCCCCGCGCCCGCACTAGCGCCGGAGGGGCTGCCGTTACACGCGGCATTCAAACTACCGCCACTAGCGCTCTCCTCTCTTGTACCTCCCCCCTCTGAGCCCCTCATATTCCCCCATTCGTCCGCCGCTATAAACGTGTCCGCCTCTCCTGCCCGCGCGAGAGCCAGGGGGGAGAGCGGGCCATCGCCGGGATTAGCGCAAGGGTAGGCGGATAAAGCGGTAGGGGAGGGGGGAAGAGTTGAGGATGTGGGGCCGACGGTTGATTGTATTGCTGGCTGGCCGGCAGCATGACCGTCGGACAGACGACAGTCGCTGCCGCCTGCCGGACGCGCATACTCCTCTCCTTCACCGCGATTGGCATGGCATTGACTCGGGTCAGGACAAAATTCCGAGCCTGAGCGGCTGCTTCGGCGAAGAAACTCCTCCGAGCCGGCGACGAGGCTCGGGTGAGTGAGGAGGTAGCGGAGCAGCGCCGAGCCCTGCAGTGACGGCGACAGACGGGGAAACCGCGGATGGCGGGGAGACGGGGAGGAGGGGAGGGGGAGCGTAAGAGGAACGCGCGATCGAGTGGTCGGAGAAAGAGTAACCGCAAGTCATGGGCGCACTAGGGGAGATGAGGCGAGCACAGCGGGAAGAGAGGGAAGGGTAGCGCAGAGCGACGTCAAGCGCGCAGCACGACCGAAATAAACGAAAATTGTTGAAGTACTTCTTGGCGTCGACGCTCAATGGCTAAAACATCCAATAGCAAGTATGCTCTCTCGCAATGGCCAGGAGACGTACCGCGAGGTGGCGCGGCACGGGCTGGCTGCCTATTATGAGCATTCGCGTCGTCTCACGTGGGCCGGCGACGCCGAACTGACTGCTATGCGCTAGGATCTCACGCACTGCTATGCGCTAGGATCTCACTATTGCATCACCATGAGGCGAAAATCTGGAGCCAAAATCTGGAGCCTGTAATTAAGAAACAGCAACTGCTTGAAGCGTATAATACCCGCTACTGAAGCATGGTTCTCTGGTCGCTACAATTATGGCAAGAGACAGAGCTAAACGATCATTGCCAAGATGGTCCTTCGGAAGGGACACCCATCATAAAAACGGAAGGCCTGAGGATGGTAGAGATTAGAACCAGTTGCAGCACGAATGCCATGGCAAGGCCTGGAAAGGCCTGGACAGTCAGCCACGCACATTCAGGCGGTGTCAAGGCGGACCTGAAATGATGATTGGCCTTGGCGGCGTAGAGGTTGGTTTGGTTGCTGTGCTGAGCAGGGCACGGGAAAACGAGATGCAGAGCGGTGCAGAGGTGTGTACGTGAGGTCCGAGTGAAGCAATACCGCTGGTAGGGGATGGGGCTCGCGATGAGAAGGGGTGTAGAGGAAGAGGAATAAATTCATCCTGCGACTGGCTGGCGACAGCGCATCGAGTCGAGCGACAGTAGTTTCGGTTTCTCGCAGGTAGGACGGAGAGAAGGGTACTCCTGGCGGTCCGCGGAAGGGAGGGGTGATTTGGCCGACCACAGGGGCCAGACGACTGCTGCGATTCGCTCATTGTCGTTGAACTCTGTACAGCTGCGAACTTGTCGCGGAAGCCAGGGTGTGCGACGCGAGAGCATTCGCACAGAGTCGTGGAGCTCAAGCGGGGACGGTCGCACTTAGCTTTTTACGACTCTGCGATTCCGGTGGGGCGTTGGCAACCAGGCTGGCGTCACACTGCGCTGTGACCGCGACCTCATTCGTCATTGTCACTGCGCTAGAGGGACAGCCAATAGAATCCAAGCGTATGGGTTACGGTGCTGTGACCTTCGGCCGACGTGCAAAAGACATTGCAAGGTCCAAGGTCCAATGTCTACATAATCACTCCTGTTATACGAAAGCCCATGATGTTTGCTGCTCACTTTGTTCTGCATAAACTTCATTCCTCACGTTCACAATCAAACATGTACAACAAAAGCCTCTACCAAACAAGCCAAATCAAGCTATCACAAATATCACGTGGTATATCAACAAAAACTAAATGCCTCCCGGCATCCACAACACCAGTGCCTACGTTGCCAGCTTCCCAATGAGACATGGTCACAACGCAATTGAGGGAATCGAACATTCAAGATCACCTTTGGGAGACGCAAGTAATTGGACGCAAGAAACTATGTCCAACATGCTTCCACATACCAGCTACCATCTGCTGGACAATCCTGAATTGAATATACAAACGTGCCACTAATTTAATCTCTACTAGGTCTTGCTGCTGACAGCAGCAGGGTCCACCTATGCAAGCCCACCCACATGTCCACAGCACAGCACATGATCACCCAAGTCACATGGTCATACCATGGGTCATGACATGGTACCGTAATCCCCCGATTGTGAAAGTTTGCTTAGGTCCTCTTGTAAAGGCAGCGTGCTTCATTTCATCTTGGAAACATACATGGTTCTCGTCCAACAAAGAACTACACACAGGAGGGTGGGTGGGCGGGGAAATTGAACTAGAGAAACTAGAAATGAAGAACGTGGGTGAGGCCGAATGGCCTCACGTCCCTCTTTTGTAGGCAAAAGAGGGTGAGTAGCGCTTCGTCACTGCCTTTGCTGTGTAGGCCCTCGCTACACTCTCACAATACATATTTTTAGAAAGTGTTACACACTTTAAAAAAATTACATATTGTGAAAGTTTGCTTAGGTCCTCTTGTAAAGGCAGCGTGCTTAATTTCATCTGGGTCTTCTGAGACATGTGCAGAAGGGGTTGGCGGTGGCGTTCAATAGATAGCTGGTGCTGATTGGGCGTGGGAGCGGTGGCTGTATCTTGGAGTTGCATGGAGGCTTGAAGAAGTAGGTCATGCGCGATGGTAACGTAGAGCTCCTTGGCATTATCGCTGCGACAACGGCCAAGTCGCTTGAACAGCCGGTCGGATATCCCCAGGCTGGCTGCCGCTGTAGCAGCGCCCTTGCGAAAGGAGTGGGTGCCGAGGTGGGCGCTATTGAGGCCGGCCCTGGTGAATGCTTCAAGGCACCAGTTCTGGATGGTGGTGTACGAAGGTGCGTGGTCCTGTGGAGTTGCCGTACTGCTGTTCCCGAAGACTCGGATCAATGGCCCGTGTGGGGTGGAGGTGTGACCCGCGAGGAGAAGAAAGTGTCGTGTGCAGCGTACCGGGCAGTATGGGCCAGAAGTGGCGGCGACCGGAATCCACATGCCCCTGCTTTCCTGGTCGGTCTTGGAGTGTGGGATGAGCAGCCACATCGCCTCAGACTCAAACTGTATGTCATGCCATTAGAGACTGACAAGGTCAGAGTAACGTAGGAAGGCGGCGAACATAAGGATGGGGATGAGTCCTTTCTGGTATTCGGCCGGCCGGGTGGACTCCAGAAAGGGGCGGGCCATGGTGTGCACTTGGTGCAGCGACAAAGGTTCCTTGTTCCGGAAGGGGCGCGGGCCATGGCGTTTGGCAAATTCGTGCACTTGTAGTGTAAATGGTCCAGTCGAGGAAGAGGGCTCGTCAGTCATGCGATGCGCGAAGGCGACGGCGGAGCATGTAAGCGATATGGCAGATGTGGTGGCCTGGTGATTTAGTGCATGAATGAGGTAGAGTGCCAAGGTCATACCCATTGCAGGCAAGTTGCTCAACTTCACCTTCATGCAGAAGGAGCGAAATTTGAGCCAGTAGGGCTCATACGTTCGGATGGTGGAAGGGGCACGGACATGGGTGATTACGTGTAGTAGTTGTGTTTGCAGCTTCGTTATAATGCCTGAAAAGGTACAGCGTAGAGTACAATTATGATTAATTTTTATACGTGACATGCACTGCAATCACCTTACTAGGAGGAAAGCCTTGTCCTGCGAAAGCGAGTGCGTGTGTGCCGGGGCGTAGGCATTGGCTGCCGTGGGTGAGGGGAATGTGTGCCGTTACTTCTAGCACCATGATGCTCCCGGCCACTCGGGAATGACCAAGGTCACCTCAGCGTGTGTGCGTTTAGCATGTCGTAATGTGGCTGGAATGAGGTTGGGAGGGGGAAACGCAAAGCCGCGCTCGTGCTGCTAGCTGAACGAAAAGCGTCAAACAATGCGGCCGTAGGGTGTGGAATCTTGGAACAAAACCTCTCCAGCTGAGCGTTGTGCACATTTGCGAAGAGATCGATAGAGTGGGGACCCAGGCGGCGATCCAAGATCCGGAACTACAGGGCTTTGAGGGAGTAGTCATCGTGGTCTTGGATTTTTTAAAGTTCGTCGGCGTGCGCATTCAGCTCTCGTAGGATCCATTCGACAGCTAGCCTTGTTTGGTGTTCCAGGCAGAGGCGAAGGATTGCTTGACACAGTAGCATAAGCGTGGGGTGGCGCGATCCACCTTTGCGTAGGATGAATACTACGCCTTGATTGTCTACCCGAACGAGCACGTGGCGCTTGGGTATGCGGGCAGCGAAAGTTCGGAGAGCCCATAAAACTCCTTCGAGTTCCCGTCGAGTGCTGGAGGTGGGCAGTAGTTCCTCGGGCATGCGAGCACTGGCTTCAATGGGCGTCCCAGGAAGTTGTTTCAGGGTGGCGCCCCAGCTGTGTGCGCTTGCATCGACGTGGATGACGGCATCGAACTGGTGACTGAGATGGAATGGGTTTCCGTTGAACTTGTCGAACTGGGCAAGCCAAAAATGCAGCTCGTGCACTGCTGTCGACGACAAGTGTGCCTTGACGTGCCAAGAGGTGGCGTCTGCAATAAGTCGAAGGAGCTCGTGACTAAAGGCACCTGCCGTAGCACCCAATGCCAGATTCATGGAGGCCAGCATTCCTGTGATTCTCGCAAGGGACCGGATGGGAACCGGTCGTCCCTCTTGTCCCTGGGTGATGAGGGCTTGGAGTGAAGCAAAAAGTTGTGCTCGACGTTCGAGTCCGACGGAGAAGGTGCCTTGGGCGGCATCAATCTCCAGGCCGAGGAAAGCTATCTGGCGCGAGGGGTGTAGATGTGACTTTTTGCCGTTTATAACAAAACCTGCTGCCTTCAGGTCCTTAACAACAGCTGCGCAGGTCGAGCGTGCATCCGAGTGGGAGTTGCAGAGGAATAGTAAGTCGTCGACATATGGAACAACCCGTACGCCCCTTGCCCGCCATCGCTTTGCCCGTTGTTTGATCAGTTGTGTGAAGACGAACGGGGCAGTGGCAAGCCCGAACGGGAGCGATATGAAGGAATAGTAGTCTCCTTCGAACTGGAATCCCAAGAACTTCCAGCAGGAGGGGTGGATCTCGACATGGTGGTAGCCTGACTTTAGGTCGATGGAGAACATCCAATCGCCTGGGCGGATGAGTTCGGCTACCCTGTTCAAGCCTTCATACTTGAACTTGGGGATGTCGAGGTAGTTGTTGACTTTGCGCAAGTCAAGAATGAGGCGACACTTATCGCGCTGCTCCACCACGTTAAGTGGACTGACACACATGAGCGCGTCCTTCGTAGGGACCTTGACGGCGGCACCCGAGGTGACGAGGTCGCGAATCTCTCCACGAGTGAAGTCCAGGTGTGTGTGAACTCCAGCATGATTGCTATCCTCAAAGGCATGTGGCACGGCTTCCTTCCAGGGAAGCCAATATCCTTTCGCGATGATGGACAGGATGAAACTGCTATCGCACCATGAGCACCACCAGTGTAGGGCGTGACGCAATCGACTATGCATGACAGTTACGTCCTTGTCTGTAACCGCGTACTCGTAGGGGTCATGTTCGTTGTGTAACCATCCTTTCCCAATTTCTGCTGGACCAAAGGGTCGGGTGGCAAGAATCACATAGGTACCCAAGTGAGTGAGACCAGACAATTGCCTAAAGAGTGGATGTGTCATAGTCAATTCCAGGGGGGGCATAGCTCCCATTCAGTTGGCAAAGCAAGAGTGGCTCATGTTCAATTGCAAAAGGGGCATGGCTGATATTCATGCCTTCTCCCTTAAGCGCTCGAGCCTTCGTCACCTCTCTCTCTCTCTCTCTCTCTCTCTCTCTCTCTCTCTCTCTCTCTCTCTCTCTCTCTCTCTCTCTCTCTTTCTCTCTCTCTCTCTCTCTCTCTCTCTCTCTCTCTCTCCTCTCTCTCTCTCTCTCTCTCTCTCTCCTCTCTCTCTCTCTCTGCTCTCTCTCTCTCTCTCTCTCTCTCTCTCTCTCTCTCTCTCTCTCTCTCTCTCTCTCTCTCTCTCTCTCTCTCTCTCTCATACACACACACCCACACACTTTCTTTCTTTCTCTCTTTCTATCTCTCTTTTTCTCTCTCTCTTTCTCTTGTGCTCTTTCCCTTTGCTTTCTCTTATGCTCTCTCTCTCTCTCTCATCCATTCTCTCTCTTTCTCTCTCTCTCTCTCTCTCTCTCTCTCTCTCTCTCTCTCTCTCTCTCTCTCTCTCTCTCGCTCTCTCTCTGTTTCTCTTGCTTTCTCTCTTTCTCTCTTTCATCAAGGCCTTGCAAAAGTTTTTTTTTTTTTTTTTTTTTTTTGCAATCTTAGTTTCAATGCGCCATTACGGCATGCATGATCCATACATGGAATAACACAAGTTTCTAGGCCCACGGCCTTCTCTGCCCCTAGGGCTACCCTAGTCTATTAGGCCATTTGCGTTGTCCTAAGGCCGGCCACCAGCCATGCACCCCCGGTGCAGCCCAATATGCTTCTTGCATATTGGCAAAGGGCACCGCCCTTACCCCCACTCACACCACCGGTGAGGGGCCTTGTGCTCCATGCCCGCCCATGGGGCACGCGTTAGCCATGTGACCTGGCTGGCCACAGCGGAAGCACACGCCCTTGTAGCATGGCTGCTGGCACGTGAGAGGGGGGGAGCCTTTGAGGTCCATTTCTCCGTCACGACCGCCGGGACGACCACCACAGGGGTAGATGGCACGTGCACGCTTGAGTGCAGCCACGTCGGCGACCGCCAGCTTGTAGGAACGGGACGTCAGCACACTCTTGGACTGGTAGAGCTGGAAGCGATCAGCGGCCTCAAAGCCGGCCTCATCCGCCACGAGAAGCACCTCGAAACGCTTATTAATAAGCGTCTCGATGTGTTTCACGTTGTTGAGTGCGCCGGTGACGTTGCCGTGCTGCAACTCGAAGTCGATGTGCTGCAGGTGCGCTTGGATAGCAGTGAAGACTTCGGCCTGGTCGCGCACGCCCTTACGCATGAAGGTATTTGCTGCGGGCGTGGGACCAAGGGGGGGAAGAGGGGGGGTGGGGGCGAGAATGCGATGGCGAGCAATATTGGCAGGAGCCTCACCATCATCGTTTTCAGAGTCGTCGCTGTTGTCGGCGTCATTGGCGAGTGCGGGAGTCGGTGCCGGGGGCTGGTTGTCGACGCGCGGAGCTTTCGGTGCGCGAGTAGGTGGCGGCATTTCTTTCTTCAGGGCGAAATTGGTCGTAGCAGTTATATTGTCCGAAGATGTTCCGAGCGTAACATTCGGCTGCTGGTGTAACAGCGCCAAAAGCGCCTGGAGTTGTTGTGCGGTCAACGCGGGGGCGGCGGCGGCTGGCACGACCTCGTCAAAGGGCGTGTGCTCGGTGGGGCCCGCGTGGCCTGCAGCCATCGCGACGTGCACAGGCGCGTGGTCCTCCATTGCAGCCACGCGAGTTTCTTCTGGAGCAGCGCGATTGGCGCCAAGCAGGACCTCGACAGCCGAGGGCCCCTCGCCAAAAATTTCTTCAGCAGGACGTTTCTGGCGACGGGCGGTTGCCCCGGCCGAAGTTCCGGGCTCCACGGAATTGTTGGGGTTGTTCGTCGGACGATTCGGAGTTGTGTTCGCCGACGCCATGTTAGCGAGGTTGTGCTGCAAAATGTCGGTGAGGAGCGTCGTCGGAGCCTTGCCTCGGGGGAGGGACTGGGTCTTCGCCAGGTTGGACGAGAAACTGCGGAAATTGAACAAGAGAAACTAGAAATGAAGAACGTGGGTGAGGCCGAATGGCCTCACGTCCCTCTTTTGTAGGCAAAAGAGGGTGAGTAGCGCTTCGTCGCTGCCTTTGCTGCGTTGGCCCCCGCTACACTAACACAATACACATTTTTAGAAAGTGTTACACACTTTCCAAAAAATTACATTATATAACACCCAATGGTGTACATTAAAATTCACTAAAAAAATGACAGGGTCTTAACAGTGGCCCGGAAAGACTTAGTGCCCATGTGTTAGGTAAAATGCAATTTGAATGTGAGTGTTCCAGGCCATGTTAGCTCACAACTGCGCCGAGCGGCTGTTAACGAGGCATATCATCCGTTGAGATGAAACTTACGAACCAGGCGTCGTTGGCCAATCCCTGCTGAGTGCTGTGATCTGGGCCAGCTTCGTGCCGCACCTGCGACCGTCAAGACTTGATAAGATTTCGATCGGGAGGATTTCGACCGTCAAATCACAGCAGAATCCGCGACTTCGACGGTTGAAATCTTCCCAAATCTCAACCTACGCTGACGTTTCCATTTCGCGCTGCAACTTGTGTTGATTCTTTTGCCCTTTTTTTTTGCTGCTAATGTACCGTATTCCCCCGTATATAACACCCGCCGAAATAGTCACTCCACAGGTGGCATATGCGGGGCATAGCTTATGATATGGTACATTTATGAGAGCACCCGCTTTTTAGACCTTGCATTGTACATAACACCCTCCAGCGTTTTTCCAAGTGAAATCCTAGTTTTTCCAAATTGTTAGAGCATCAGTTGCTAGAAAATTACTGAGAGCTTATCTACGGTACCTATGCTAGCTACACCTACATGGCGTACTCTACTGCATGTACAATATGACATCAATTCTAGTCAATATTTACGTCTCTACTATCAATCGTCCTCCTCATATTCCTCTCCAGCATGCCACACCTCGGCATATTCATCGTCGGAGGCAATATCATCCCGGTCGAAATCATCAGTCCAGCGGGACGCAGCCAGGCCAGCAAGAACCTCCGCCGCCGGCATCTCTCCACCATCGCCCTCGTCCTCTTCGCCAGCAGGGACCTCTGCTCTTGTTGCTGCTGTTGCTGAGGCTTTTGCTGTTGCACATGCTACCGTGTCCAAGGATGAGTCTGCTGCTGCTGCTGTTGCTCCTTTGACATCCGCCTGCATCAATCTCGGTCTCCACATCTGGCTCGTCGTCCTCCACGTCTAGCGCAGCGCTGGGCTCGATGTACTCCACGTCGTAGAAGGGATTCTGCGCCCCAGTCTCCTCCATTTCGGCGTGCACATCGTCCATTACCTCGACCTCCGCGTCGTCCCGCATGTGGGCGAGAATCACCTTGTCCTCCGTGCCGTCGGTCGCGTTGGAGATGCCGCACGTCTTGAACGCGCGGCGGATGAGTTCTGCCAGCACCGCAACCCACGCGTCAGCAATCCACTGCAACACAAGTTCGGCCGGTGTTTGCGCAGGTTCCCTGGCAGGCAGAAACAGAGAGGGCACGATAGTTAGTATTGAGTAAATAACGGGGCAAACGCTAAAAGACTAAAGAAGATAGTGTGAATCACACGACAAAAGACTAATCACAGAATACACGTCGACAACAAAACGTGTGCTCACCAGCTGTAGTGGTCGACTCGCAGCCGAAATCCTCGATCCACTCGATGTACGATCGACGAACGGGCGTCTTGACGCAACGGTTCACTGCCACGTCCAAAGGCTGTACGATAGGCGTGCAGCCGCCGGGAATGACTGCACGGGAGAGCTTGAACAAGCGCATCAACTGAGACACTCCCTCAGTGAGGTGTCCCTTGTACGAGTCGAGGACCACCAGCGCCTTCTGACGGCCACCACGCCTCGCAGGGATGGTGTGCAGGAATGGCACGAGGACGCTGGTGACCCAATCCTTCACATGCGCCTCATCCATCCAGCCCTTCTTCTGGGCTTTGATGACAATCCCTGCACATGCAAATAAAGCAACATAATTAGTTGTCGTCGTTATCTTGGTGGAAGAATATTCACTGAACGCAGGCGTAAATAGTTACAAATGATTATTACCTACTGGGACTCGGATGCTCGGCAGAGTTTTCCGCTTGAAGATGACATACGGCTTTAGCTTTTTGCCGCTTGCTGTGACTGCCAGCATGATGGTCAATCTCTCCTTCTCGTACCCGGCCGTCCGCACATGAACTGTTCTTGAACCGCGGACCTCGAGGGTGGTTTCCTGCGGCATCTCCAGGAAGAGTGGCATCTGATCGGCGTTGATGATCAGGTCGTCGGGGTAGTCGTTTAGCATGCGAAGTTGCCGAACGAACTCCCAGAATTTCTCAACCTTGGCTTCACAGTCTGCCAGTGTAAAAAGACGAGATACAAGAAAACAGAGCATCATTACTAAACGGCCAGGAAGCAACTCAGCCGACTGTAACAGGTGTCACTTCAACGCAGCATGGAAATAGAGTGGCAAGAGGGGAAAGACCACGAGATAGACCGACGACAACTAACCGGCGGTCATGCGTTGGCCCATCTTTGTCTTCACGCGCTTCGTCAATCCCCAGCGGGCGTGGAACCGGAACGGCCAGCGCGAGGAGGCACGCCAGATGACGCAAGGGCGGTGCTTCCTCATGTAAAACGGCTCCATTTCTGCAGCGTGCTGATCGAGACAGCTAGCCCACGTGTGCGGTGTCCAAGGAACTTCTTGTAAATCTCTCGCTCCATCGTCGGGTACTTCGACTTTCTTCCAGAGCCGATGAGACGACGCCTGCAACCAGCAGCAGCAGTGAGGCGAGCCTTGTTTTTCTTCCAGTCACGAATCTGGCACGGCTGCACTCCAGCCATGCAAGCCAGAGAGCGCTTGGACAGATCCGGATCAGACTCCATCTTCGCCAGCCAGTAGAGCTTCTCGGCAGCCGTCCGCGCGACTCGTTTTCGATTCGTCCTGCGAACCCTGGGGGAGGGAGGTGCGGCATCACGGTTAACCATGGGCATGGTAGGACTATCAAAGTGAGAACTGAATGATCAGTAGAGAGAGAGTATAGGTGAATATACCTAAGTGTTGTACCCTCTAAGAGGTGGCCCTATACAGTCTATGCAAACATAGGAGATACACATGTTTGACACACCCCCTAGACTGCATAGGGGCAGGTCCTGAACAAGCAGCTCAGGGCGGCACTACTAGTCCAGCCTCTGAGACAAGGGTCTAAAAGACCAGTCAGAAAGAGTACAGACAAGGCAAGAACAAGACCAGGGCGGCACTACTAGTCCAGCCACTAGGAGAGGACACAAGTCCAGTCTGAGTACACATATAAAGGACAGTACAAAGTCAAGGCCCTAGCAAGTGAGAGGCAACAGGAACTAGACCAAGCTGTACACAGTGCCGCTGATGATCTTTAGGTGCAAGCGCCTTCGTAAAGATATCAGCTGTGTTGGCACTTGAAGCCACGTGTACTACGCGAGCCTGGCGTCGCTGCTGTAGCTCGCACAGGAGGAAGTACCGCAGCTGAATATGCTTCGCTCTGCCCTCGAGTCGAGGCTCCTGACAGAGGAGGATCATGGCCCTGTTGTCAGCGAACAGGATCGGGGCAAAGCTAGGCCGCTCACCTAAGTCAGTGAGCAAGAAGGTCAGCCAGCGGAGCTCCTGTGCCGCCATGGCACCGGCGTAGATCTCGGCCTCACAGCTGGACTGGGCAACAGACGAGGAGCGGGTAGCTCTCCACAAGACGGCACCTGAACCAAGGCTGAAGCAGTAGCCCTGGGACGACCTGAGTGTCTCGGCGTTGTCTGCCCAAGAAGCGTCTGTGTGTCCAGTAAGGACCACTGGCCCACGTCCTCCTAGCACTAACCCCATGCCTGATGTACTAGCAAGATAACGCAAAACCCTCTTAGCGGCAGACCAGTGCTGCGGTCGGTGTCTGCCTGTGGCCACATAGCGAGCTAGGATGCTGAGAGGGTATGCGAGATCTGGGCGAGTGCAAGTCATCAGGTACATGAGGCAACCCACCAGCTCTGCGTAGGGGCCGCTGGGCTCTACCGACTCCTCAGAAACTGGAGCAGAGAGTCTGTGGTCTACAGGCAGAGGGGTGGGGTGTGCAGAGGAGAACTGAAGGCCGAACCTCTGAAG